TTACTGTGCAGATTACAAAACTGCCTGGATAATACTGATGGCAGTATATGTGTTTCTGTCTGTTTAGGTTGCCATTCCCATAGCTTTTGAGTAGTTCTTTTTAGTTGTTGAGTGACTGCAAATACTGATGTGATTTAAATTCTGAAAATTCCAAGGGGGCCATTTGCCAGTACTTTGTTAGTTCAGGAGGGCAAAAGCAAAGAGTCAACATTTTAAACCATTTATTTTTTACAACATATACAAATACAAGTTTATTCTTCAAGTCAGTAGAGAGAAAATAGTCCAGGTGGAAAAAATCACTTTTCAAAATCGTTCATTTTACATAGTTTCCAAACAATATAAAGACTGGCACATGGTGATGTTGCACTGTCAGAATACTTTGACATGCTTTAAAAGGCAGAGAAAGACAACTGTACAACCAATTCGTTCTGAAATATTCTATACATGTTTTGGAGCGAAATCTATTTACTGCTATTTATTTTTGTGTTTAATTTGCTAACTCTGCCAAATGTCTATCACTATTGAAGTTACAAAATATTTAGCACAGGCAGGAAAAAAGCCACTGTTGTTACATTTAGTGGGCTACCTAAAAGTAAACTGAGTTTTGTAGTGGACTAGTAACAGCCAGTGATTAAAACCCAAATGTTAGCTGAAGCATTCAGAGGGCCAGAGCAGAATGGACAGTTTCGTTTCAGAAGCTGCAGACTCAACCCTTCACTGAAATGTAAAGCTACCAGCAAGTTCTTCTTTTAAAAAAAGCAAACTATGAATGTGAGAGAATGTACTCTTGAAATATTTAGGTATTTCCATGGTAAAGTCTAATTCTTGAAAGCACGTGATTTCTAAAAGCAGATGGCTTTCTAAAGATGGCTATTGAGATACTTCATCTAGTAATATTTGTAGCAATAAAAATAATGTGACTAGGTTTTAAAAATTAAAACTGACATAGTATTGTTTATTCTTCTAACTGCTAAACTTGGGCTCAGGAAGATAGAAACAGGAACCCCTCCAGGCGATTGGAAGTACCTCCTGGTGTGCCCCAGTTCCTGCAAACTGAGCAGTCCTGCAGCATGGCCAGGATCCATGGCTGCTTGCTTTTGTCCCATACAGTCACACCACTGCAAGCAGCACGTGCTATGCAAGGATAATGTGAGACATCATTGGTAGAAAAGTAACAGTGGTTTTAAAATATTATAGAATAAAATACTTCTGTATTTTTTGCCAATAGGCAACAGAGTGTGAGATTTCCACCTATGAACTGTTCAGCATGAGGCCTGCTACCACTCAGAGACTGCATGTTTCTGGAAGGTGTTGATTGTTTACATTCCTTTCTTTCAAACTTTATCCTGAAAGCTGCTTCCTGTAAATAGTTTGTAATGTTAAAATGAATGTATTTTCCTAATTGGTGTCCATGCCCAGCCAAAAGCACAGAAAGGGACAAAGTTATTTCGTCAGTCTTGTCATGGGAATGCGTGGACAGGTATTCCTGCAGAAATAAAATCTGTGGCTTAGCAGAATAAACTTTCCTATTAGAATAATAACTCAGCACATGAAATCTGTTTAACCAGGCTTTCACAAAAGTTAACAAAAAATCCCCTGTTTAATGCTTCAAGTGGTGTTGTATTGTCATTAGGATATTTGGAACCAACACAAATAGAAGGATACTGTATTCCTTTCCAGCTTCACCCCAAAATGTACCACATTTCACCAGCAAAAGTTTACTCTCATGTTTACCAATACTTAAACTTGAAATTAAGTGATTGATGTATGTACATGAATGAAAATACTGGAACAGTATAATGTCTACATGCCTATGAAGTTGGGGTGTTTTAAATAGAAAGACAAATACTTTTCTGTTCTTTCACTGGGATGAACAGCAGCAAAAGTAGCTTTAGACCTTGATTCATGAGGAAGATACTTTTAATAATAAACTATTCCCACAGCTAGAAAATTACTGTATTAGCAGAAGTTACATGAAGATTGCAGTTGAAAAAAGAGAGAGTTGCATTAGCTGAATTGTGCAGTAGGTTGATGTAAGTATTTCCCAGTAATTCCAAAGTACTCCAAAGCAAACTATGGGGTGAGCAAACCTCATTCTTACAGGGGCAGGCGACGTAGTTAGAATTAGTAATACGTAAGTGCAGAGGCTGAGCTGGGGAGTGGTGGGGGGTTTTAATTAATGATTGCTGAATTGCAATATGCTGGTTTGCTACATCAGCACTGAAGATAAGGAGTGGGAAGTGCATGGCTGCTGGGAGGAGAGGCCACAGGGACATTTGACTTTTTTGTGTGTCTGTGATTATTTTTTCTGAAAGCTGGAAGTGACCTCAAGAGGGCACTTTGGGGTTTGGTAACAGCTACTTCATAGGAATTTTCCATAGTGTGTAACGCTTCTGGTGACACAGTGCAGGTTCTGTCTGCTCATTTATGTGCCGGTTAGTTAATGACTTTGCTTTCTTTAATTTCATTTTCTAATATTGGGGGGGTGGGGGGGGACTACTGCCTGTAACTTTTTTGCCTTTCGTCCTTGCACTATCAATCAGAAGTGAACCTCATTTTACACTGCTGTTTTGTCCTTTGCCTGATGCAGCTTCTCTCTTAGGAGCAGTAGCATTTTGTGCTGAAGCGCTAAAGCTGATGTGGAAGAACGGAGTGCATGAATCACTCCCTATGGTCATGGATTTCTTGATTTAGTCACACCAGGGAACTGAAATGCTTTGTTTAGGGATTGCTCCAGGGAGACAAAACGTGTGCAGAGCAATTCATTCACCACAGATACACTACATGCGGGAAATCAAAGGGATGACTGATTTCAGCCATTGTTTCATTTGCGCCCCTCTAAGTTGGTGTGGATTGTTTTAACTAAGCACATTAATAACGCCCATGGAGGAAAAAAAGACAACCACAACTAAGTTAGTTTAGTTAAATATCAAAAGATGAATTCAGCAAACATAAAACTTTACAACAGTGTTTCTATGTAAACAAAAACATCAAGAATTATAGTGTAAGAGTTCTTTATACTCCCTGGGTTTAACAGACAAGTAAAAAGACATTTCCTGACTGTATAGAAAAATGTACTTTGAATTCAAAATTTTTAAATGTTCATTACGTTTATGAATGTATTGGTTTGAGTTTGGTCAGTTTTGGTTATTAAATGTCTTGTGCTGAAAAGAAATATCCAGAAAAGTTAAAATATTTTTTCCTTCAAATCCAGAGAGAGGTAAAAATTCTGCATTTTCTAAAAAGTAAAGTAGTATATGATAAATATATTATACAAGGGCATGTACTTTGGAACATGGTAATAAATATTCTTTCTTTAAACACAAGCCTGGAAAACTAGAACTTACAGGAAGAAAATGTTTCTTGTCAAAGTATCACTACCAGGTAGGTGTATTTAGCTATAGTATATTATTTTGTTAAAGTAGATAAACCATAAATAATTTGAGCATTTTGTGTATATTCATCAAAGTTAAACAGATATGCTAAAGAAGTTACAGTATATTTAAATCTCTTTACAATCACTTAACACAGTGTTTAACAGAAATCTTCAGGTAAAAGTGCATTATTTTAATATAATACACCTAAAAGAACACTCTGGTTCTTTGCTTTCAGTTTGCCTAGAGGCAACTATCTAAAAAAATTTTTTTTTTTTAAAAAGGAGGGCAAAGACAGGTATTTGCTTACACCATACAGTCCAAGAAAACTTCTTCATCTGCCTATCGAGTATTTGTAGATGTGAAGGTAGAGGAAGAGGAGAATCTTCCAACAGCTGACAGGTATCTTTTCAATCTATGACATCCCATGTAGGATTCCCAGATTCTCGATGTTAATGCAGCAGCATTGCCTGGATTAAGCATCTGTAGCACAGGGCACACAATTGCTGACCAGTTCAGACTGCAGCAGGTTCCTTCAACAGCACTGCAGAAGGATTCAGTGATGTAAATTCCAGTTTTCAAAAAAAATGAAAGAACAAATGCAAAAGAAGAAGGAATGTGACTGGGATCTTTCCACAATTTACTTTGCTTTGGTTGAAGTCGGATTGTTTTGATGATTTAGGGGTTTTATAGTAGCCTAGCAATAAGGTATTGTCCCTTCATATTTGAAATCTTTCTTAAATGAAAATATTATTTGTATTCTGTTAATATAATGATTTAGCAGTAGTATGACAGTGCATGTCAAATAACGCTTTAATAATTAGGTGCATGTGGAAAGGAAATGTAATCTTACATTGGCCATATGTGAGAGTTGGGATTACCAGCATTGATTTCTCTTTATTTACAATGAGCTGTAACTTCTCAGATGACATCTCAGTGCTGTAGGAGCACTATGCAAATATCTGGTTAGTGTATGGTGGTGGACAAGTTACGGGTATTATCTTCATATAAATGGGACAGTCTGAAGTTGTGTATTTCATTTGTTGTTTTAAGTCAAGCAAGATGGGAGAAATTTAAGAGATACAGAAAGGATAGTAAAAATGTTTAAACATTGCCACAGAGAGAAATTAACACTATAAACTTGTTTTAGCTAAAAAGGAGATCATCAATCTCAGTAATTTTATTATATGCATGTAATAAAAAATGACAAAAGCTCTCCTGGATACTTCTATTTACTTTGTCCCAGAGTAAGAGAGTAATAGGACATCATTAATTAAGCACAGTTAGTAGGTTACTATAAAATCAGCCAGGATACAACATTTTGTTTTGTATTTTAAGTCTGCAGAGAAAGTGGGTGAAACTCCAGTCTTCACACCATTCTGATCTACTGCAGCAAATGCCATAATAAATAACTGGAGACCTTACTGATTTGATCTTACCGTGCTTATGCACACCAATGTCTAAGGCTTTTCTGGATCTTTCTGTCCAGTCCCTTGTTACCTCACTGTGGTTTAACCAACGACAGCTTTGAAAATAATGCTCTGTAAATCATGTATTAAAAGATTGCTCTGATTTAGAATCAGTATCTCGTACCTGAACAGACCGTGCCATAGGCAGTGGTGGTTACTACTCCGTAATGTCACTAAAAGTCAAACTGCATGCAGACCTTTCGTCCTTGCTCTGTGGACTGTCCGGCAAGACCTGCAGAGGTGGCGATATGAATCCCCGATACTGCTTACTTGACTTGGTTAACTTCTTGAGTTCACTGGTAAAGGAAATGCCTTTTCTTTTGTCATCTCGTGCTGCCTGTAAAGAAAAAAAAAAAAGAAATCGGATCATAAAAGTGGTTTAACAGGCTGTTTTTAGCTGTGAAATATGGAATTAATATGTAACCACCTAATACATTTATAAGCAGGCCTCCCTTTTGAAATTGAGAGCGGCTGTGCTTTCACAACCAAGCACATTCTTCTGGTTGTTCTGAATAAAGTCATTGAAAATTATGCATTATCAAAGATATGGTTAGCAAATTTGCTATAAACTTGTATAAAAATCTGTGCTTATGAGTCAATTACTTTAAAGCAACAACTGCTGTGGCTTGATGGCATCTGCTGGGAAGAAGAACATACTTGCCTGCTGGGAGAAGGAGCTAATTCATTCAATTTTCCAAAGCCTGAGGTAAAGCAACAGAACGACTTTCTCAGTGGGCCAGGAATAAAGGGGACTTTATGCCACTAGTTTTTAAGTTCTGCCCATTTGAATAGTCCTGCTTTACTATGATAGGGAGCAGGGCATGCACAGCCAGAAGATTTTGAAAAACGGAAAGCTGGTAGCAAAAGATAAAGGTTGTCATGGGAGTTGCAGGCTGGATCTGACTGATGCATTTTTGCAAAGAAAAAAGGGAGGTGTGGAGAAAAGAGGAGTCTGCTTTTTGCTGTAGTCTCTTCTCCCCACCCAGCCTCATGCCAGTTGTTTCTCCCTCCCATTGAAAGCAGATTCCTGTTAAGTTGATCATACACCATATATAAACCTGCTGCAAAGTATGTGATCATTTACCTGAACCTGTTCTTTGAGTTTAAGGATAAATTTTCCTGCTCCTTTCCACTTGCTTTGCGCCTGAAACACACACTCCTGATCAGAGAGAATCCTCTGAGATGGTTTAGATGTTGAGGACTTTTTGTTTGCTGGCTCTTTTGTCACCTCTTCCAAGAGCACATAATCACTTGGATTTGGATTGCTCAAAATGCTGTAGGAGTATTTGGCTTTGCAAAGAGTCTGTTTAAAAGCAGAAAAAAAGATAAAAAAGAAGGCATTCCCTCAGGTTCAGGTTCCTAAACCAATTCCTCAGCTAGTGCTGAGAACAAACCCCACCTTATCTTGTGTGAAACCAACCTCCACCCTACACATTAGAGACGTGCTACATGGACACAGGCTGCTTACCTGCTGTATGACGTCCTGAGCTGTGCTAAAGCGGGGAGCTTTGATGACAGTGCGCGGTTGCTCTGGGGAGACATCGTGTACCTGAACAAAGAAACTGTCATCCTCAGAGCTGATGGCTGCATCCTCCTTTGCTTCTTGAAAGACGTTTCTCTCATTTAAATTCTGTGGAAAAAAGGAGAGCCAAATGCATTTACTTCATAGAGGTAACTTAATAGCTGTTTTTTTAATCACGTGAAAATTGGAGACTGCTGTTGGCCCAGCTCCATTTCATTAAATGCAAGTCTTCTGCGTAAGACAAGCCACTATTTAGCAATGGTATGTAATACCTGTGTCAGTGTCTGAAATACCCTTCGTAGTAGACAAGGAATGGAGACATATGCATAGTATCACATTAGGCAAAAATAATCACTTAGTATTTCCTTATGTATGCAAAATTATGTTTTGTCATGTAGAGGTGGCATTAAGATGAGAGATGGTGGAAAGCGTCCTTTTCTCGCCTTGTCCCTGCACTAAAGCCAAAAGAATTCAGAGAGCAAGACGACTGAGTGAGGAAGGCTGCTTCGCTGTCCTTTTTCAGGCTCTATGACTACTGCAGATTTTAGACAGAATTTCTCCCTGCACCTTCTCTCAGGTAATGCTTTTCTCTCCAGCCCCTTGTAACGTAGCTTGAATTTGTAAGCTGTAAGCATGGGCTGCGTATCACACCCTACAGGTGGACCCTCTCCTGGTTTTTACATACAGATTTGCAGCTTCATTTCTAGCTCCAAGATTCGAGGCTGCTATCTGCAGGAGGGCTCAAAAATCATAGATAATGTTTGAGGTACTAGTATCACGGGACAAAACTACAGCATAGTTTTCACTTACGCTCAGATTTTAGCCCATTTTCTGAAAGAATGGGGTTTGGCAGTTACACATTTGAGGTTGCATACACTTAAAAAATCAGTGTTGCAGTCAGCTGGATTAAGTAAGTAGGCTACTGTTTCCACAAGCAAATTTCTACCTAGTGATTTTTCCTCCAGATATTACAAGTAAAGGAAAACAAAACATTGACCTGTGTAATACAATGGTAATTTCTCAAATTGAATCTTTTCAAAAGTTGTGTCAAAATAATCAGTTAAAAATGTATTTTTTCATTTTAAAGGAGGCTTTCTGTCATTTGTGGGTGTAAAATCTGTGTATATAAACATACATGTAGATACATTGCTCTGTTCAGGCTAAGCAAGCATTATATGCTGACCTGACCAAAGGAAGTGCCTCTGAAAATGAGATCGTTGAGTGTCTTTTCTCCTGCTTTTTTGTTTCTCTCTCACAAGCCTGAGCACTAGCATATTTTCAAGCTGTGGATAATTTGCTCATAGGTTAAAGTGAAGTAATCACTCCATCCTCCTCCTTTAAATTAAATCACCTTTTTCATTATTTTAGGCTATCATTGCTAATTTAATCATCCTTTGAGATTTTGAGAGTTCTTTAGTATTAAAATCCTTTCTAATTTTTCTGAACAGAGAAGAAGTTGCTAACATCTAAACTGATTGATAATTGTAGTCTAGAGTTCTGTTATTATGATCCTTTGGTATTAACTATTATCCTCCTTTCTTTATATTAATCTATCGTATAAAAATCTAGATTTACATTAAATTAGAACTATCAGTCAAAGCAGTAAGCTAGTGGCACTGAACTGTTGAGTAAGCAATGATGATGAAACGCCACATAGCTAATCCTAGAAGTGAAGTCAAGTTAGTGTTGCACAGGTATATAAAGTCTAGCTGTGCTCAATCAAGGGTTGTGTTTGTTTTTAAATGATGTACATGGACATTACTCACCAAGTAGTGAAACAAATACTGCACCCTTTTGTTTCCTGGTCCTAACAGCTATTTTTAGCGACCTTTGTAAATAACAATTTATCTAAAACAGACTTACTTCCTCTCGGGTTTTAAAGATAATCCTTCCAACATATCCTTCTTCTGGGAACCAACTGTTCAAAAGCTGCACTAGGCCTTCTTCAGGACCAATTACTCTCTGGAATGGTGGTTTTCTGCATTCACTCTTCTCTTTAGATATAAAACTTTTCTCTTCCATCAGAAAATAGTCTGCAGCACATGACTCTGTGTCTTTTGTGGTAGCCAAGAGCTAAGACAGACCACAATAAACACACAGCAATTAGAATGCTAAATATAAACACTACATAATTAGTAGTATAAATGAGAATGAATAAAGCAGCTTTAAGAATCAATAACTATTCTGATAGTGTGGGCAAGATTTCTGATGTGCTATTTATTATTCAGATATTCTACTCCAGGGTAATGTACTGTTCTCTTTAGCCTAGCCAAGCAGTTCAGCTATTCCAGACAACGCAGTACTATTTAGGCTTATTTCTGTCCTGTTTGGCTGGCCAGACAATTTATTCATAATCCCAGGACAGTACAGTCTTTTCCCACTGCTAGAATAACAATCCCTGTTGAGTTAACTGGGTTTTCTACTCATGAACTTAGCCCTCTAACTTTTACTCTGTATTCCTATGGTGCTCAGGTTCAAAGAATTGCGCAGAAATGTTTGCCCATGTTGTAAGGACAGCCCACTGCCTCTGTCGGTCAGAAAGATTGTTTTTCTCATCTGCATATGCCCAAATAGTAAAATACTAATAGGAAGTGTGTTCTAAGATTATAAACCCATTCTCTGAAGCCAACATTTGAGAAAATTTCACTGATGATTGATACTCTGTGTTTGCAATTCCACAGTAACACATTTCTAAAGCACCTCCTTGCTGTGATGAATGAACTACAATGACCCTGCGCATGAGAAATGCAGGGAGGTGAACGTCCAGAATGATGTGGGTTCTTGCAGCTAGAGCCTGCAATTCAGCAGGCAGCTTACCTGATGGAGAAGCTGTGCAGCTGTGGTCCCCCCACTTACATTAAAAACAGTGAAAGGCTCTGGGCCTGGAACTCCATGAATTGTCACTTTGTGAGTCACAGCAGCTTTCTTTTCCCCCATGCTAAACAACTGTTCAGACAACATTCAACAGGTTACTGAATGTTTTCACACAGGCATGTTATTTTTAGGTCACTTAAAAGAAACTGTACACACAAGTTGTAAGGACCTTGACAGAGCAAAGCTATCCAGCTACTCCATGGCTCTTACACTACAGATCAAGGCATTTAAAAAAAAAAACAAAACAAGAAACTAAGGCCCCAAAAGACCCCAGCATACCTTGAAGCTAAAGTTAAAGAAGAAAAAGGAAGTTTTCCAGTAAGAGTACATAAACTGCCACTGAACAAAGGGTAGACCTCCATCGCTCACTGTCTGCATTCTGGTGGAGCTCAGACTATTTGAATTCAGCATATGAATTACTGGATGAAAATCTACAGCTTTGTTTTACCCTCCAAACCATTTTTGTTCTTCCTTTCTGCCCTAGTAATTCAGCAAGATACGCGTTCGGCACGTATTCGCAGGAGGATAACCTCTGCAACACATCTGCTGCACACACAGTAGCTCGGGAGGTTTTATGTAACACTTTAGGAATCAGCAAAATGATAATATACATGCTTAAATTTACTAAAGCACAAGTAGCCCAGGTAACCTAACATTAAGGGCTATTTAAACTAAACAACATCACATCCATCCATACTGTGTTTTATATATTATACACACATCTGTATGTGTATGTGCAAATATCTGTACACATAAGCATGTAGATGTGCCCCCCCATATATAAATGTGTACGTATTTATGCAAATACAGACTCCAACTCTTCCTCTAATAGAATTCAATTTTACTCTCATTATTCCAAAGTTGGTGGTAATTTGCATCTTTCTTTTTTTGTCCCATTGCTTATGATTCATGCATAAAAGGAGGCAGCTCTGAACCTTACTGCTCAACCACAGTCCTTCTCCAGCACAGGAGTTCTCGTGCTATACCTAAATACACCAAAAGCCAGACTCTGTAAAGATTTACCCTCCCACAGTTTCAGCCAGGTGGGAGACCCTTACTTCCACCAAAGCCCAAAAGAATTAGGCATCGAGATACTTCTGAAAAATGTGCAGGTTTAAGGGCTAACATCTTTGAACAGTCTGGTTCTAGAAGTCTTCAGACCACAGTAGTCATTAAGACAAGAGTATGTGGCATTCACAAAAAAATATTAAATTACCGTAGATGCAGGCAGAGTGTTTCCAGAGGGACTTTCTTCCATTCTCCGACTGTTTATGAACAAACTAGAAATTTCTAATGCTTCATTGTGCAGGTTATGGAGCTGGACATGTCTATAGCCTAAACAGAAAAAAACCTTTGGTAAGTACTTTGCCACATCCTAGCACACAAATCTCGTAAATGGAAAACTCACATTTGCTATATTTATAGCTACAATTTGTCACACCTATAGGATTTAAAGCACTGTAGTAACACTGCATTAACACTCTTGGTCTGTACAACAGTGTAACCTAAATGCTATGCACTGCTGAGTGGCTCATGTAGCTGCCTACCACCTTTGTTTTGCTCTAATATTCAATATATTCGTACATGAAATAGCTAAATATTAGAACATGAATGAAACAAAGACAAATTCTCACTGGGAAAATGCACGTCTATGGCCAGATCTCATATGCTAAGACTGTTGTGTGGTGTTACAGTGGCACGAAGTGAATGTGAAAGTATTTTCACCACTCTACTGAAGAGCTATTGGCAATATGGAAATTCCCTCCCCCAGGTGTCACAGAATCAATGATGCTTCCTCATCTCTCTCTCTCACCTTTTTTCACCCTTTCTTCACCTCTCCTCCAGCCATGGCTGCAAGAAGTGCAGTTCCCCCCTGCCCCGTGACCACCAGTTACAGCAGTTTCTCGGGCAAAGGACAAGGCAGGGAGTGAAACCACGCCGTGCTTCCTAAGGGAGCAGCAAGTCTCACGGTGAACGCAACCCCACAGCTACAGCTCAGGATCAGAGCCACTGCGTACAAGATGCCCCAGCCTCTGCAACAGCACAATCGCGGACCTTTCACAAGTCATTGGGGAAGCCTCCAGCTCCCAGGGAGTCCCAGCATCACACTGCCAGGGCAAAGCTGTGGTCTGGTATTTGCTCCCCATCATCTCTACAAAAATGCCATCGGCTGATTAAAAATATCCCTGTGGCAGGATTCAGTCCAGAAATCTGGACCATTTTGGCATAGGGTGTCACTACAAACTATACTGTACCTCTTTTTAGAGCTTTTAGAGGAATGATTCTCTGAGCTGTCACAGCCGAGCTGTTATTTTCAACAACTGCAAACCGAAGAAAGACCAAATCTTCAAAGTGAACCCGGAAGAGGAACTGTTCGTTCCACATGGGGTTGAGAGTGTTGCGATGAATGGGCTTCGTCCGGAAATGGCAGCTGTCCAGAGGCATCCCCAGCACATCGATTTCGATGCAGGGACTGCCCGTGCTGTTGCTGGGGCAGACGTTCTGTCCAGACACAATCTGAAGCCGAGGAGCACACAGAGAAACCAATTAGTGGAGTAATTCTTCTATTGTCACGATTCTGAGCTAAATATTGTTTAGCGCACTCCACAGTTTGTTAACATACTGATTTAATTACAGCGCTCCCCTACTTTTGTAATTGCCAGGGCAGTAATTTCAGCAGCAGAGCTGCTTCAGCCCCACCCCATGCCCTTGCTATGGTATCTTTCCTCTGAAAAAAATACACTACACATCACGAGTGTAACCATTCAAGGCATCTGAAAGTTAATCCAGAAAGAATGTACCAGTAACATAGTCAAAAAGGATCAACTTTTCCTCTTCGTTACTCTGGGGTAATGGCACTGACCTCTGGCTTGCTTTGGCATACACAGCACAAGAATTAGGTGTGCGATTACCGCAGCTGGGGGAATTTTGATTCCTGTGAATCTCACTTTTCTGAAACACTTAGAGGAAGGGACTAGCTTCTTAGAATACATTATTTTGGCCATAAATCCATGAAGGATATATTTTATTATATAACTTTGAAAAAACATTTTTTTAAGATTCAGTACAGCTTTTCATAATGGCTTTTTGTGTAGCTTCTCAAGTGTTCGCAAACGTGTGAAACATCCAGGCCCATGTATAATTTTACACAGTTGTGTAGTCCCGGGGAAAATGCTTTCAGGACTGGGTTTCAACAAATATTGTGAAGGAAACAGTGAAAGTAACTATGGATACAAACCAGCCAATAAAATAAAATGAAGACAATTATTTGCTCCTTCCCTCTCCAATTTCTTTTAGTTATGCTGACCTTCAGAAGTACAAGCAACAACGAAAGTTTCAATCTTTTCATACAGAAGCATGACTGTAATGCTGGTTAAAGACTGAGTGAAATGTTGTCTGCTTCTATCTGTTTGGCTGTATGAAATTTCCTTTTAATGTACTTACTGTTAAAGAATATATAGCTGGCTCCTTATTATCAAGATCTCTTTCTAACGGACAAAACTGCTGGTACATTGAACAATTTTTATCCCACATAACAGGAGGTTTCAAAACATATCCACAGCCACCATTAGCCTCAAACATCGCTGCATTAAGTTGCAGAGGAAGATCTGTGAAAGGAAGACAGCCAAAACTGACAAAGAGAAATGGTACAATGGAAAAACTAACAGTGAAGACCAAGACATATTTTAAGTATCTTTTTTTTAATTGTAATTGTGTACTATCAATTCATTTTTGCTTTTCAGAGATAGCTGTAATTTATGTATCCAGTCTATCCTATACTTAATTCTACAAAACTGTAAGAACAGTTCATTCTTTTCTATACCTTTCTGTTGTCTTTATCCAACTGTAGGGCTTGCCTGCACATATTCTCTGATAAGTTTCTAGGTATTTGCCCTGAACTGCAGAATGAAAAATCATTGACTGCGTAGCTTGGTGAAGGAACACAAGATAGGATAGAAAATGGCCCAAAAAAGTTTTGATCAACATTAAACCAGCATCCAAGGCAGCACTTCTAAGTAAAAAATAGTTCAGTACCTTTTTATACTTGAAATAATTGGAAAAGGGTAACAGCTACTTGAACTGGGGAAAACACCCAACCTTCGGCAATAAAATAAAAATAAAAATGGAAGGTGTTGCTGTCCAGGCACTTCTGTGCTATCAGGAGATCTGCTGCATTGGCATAAACTCTGGGATTGCTACTCTCAAGGACCACATTGTCATGGTATGAAACTGCTTGTGCTGGGGCACACAGACAGGTACGTCCCCTCATGATAGCAGGTAAAAAGCAAATGTCAAATACAAATTCACAGTTTAAGGACTTACTTAACATTTAAAATGTATTAAAATGCGCGTTCGTGTACCCATACCATCTGTTTGGTAGTTAAGAGCCACGAGCTGTACGCCATGGAGCCAGAAGATCAGTGGATGGGGATTTGAGGAGTCAATGCGTGTGGCAGCAGGGTAGGTCCTCAGGAGCTGACAGGTGGTGTGCTGGATCAGCTTCTGAGAGTACCGCCTGCACAGCCGCTTGGCAGCGTTCTCGTTCAGGGAGGAGATGTGGTAGCACTTGGGCGTCCTTATGATAGCACTGAGAGAAGCTGGAGAGTTGTAAGGAGAGCAAGGATCTTCCCAGGTCTGCCGCATCACATCAAAAGGACCTGGAAAATAAACAGTACTTTCAAGTTACAGCCGCAGATCCAGAGACTTCCAAGAACTCAATGTTTTCTAGTGAAGTATGTGTCCATACTTCGATTATGGTAGAAAAAGGTGATCCTGGAAAATGCCACTACTCAATATGAGCGTGACATTCCTTCTTATACAGTAAGAACAGTCCATGAGAGGAAACATAATGTTTAAGTATTGAAATGATACTGTGATTAGATGTGCTAACAACTATTTTCATAAATAAATACTTAATTGACATTTGCCTGAATAAAATAATAGAATAAAATTCTATTCTTCTCATTTATAAATTTTACAGGAGGAAGGGAGGCAAAATTGAAACCCATCTGCTAAGTCTCCGAACAGGCAGTCTACAGAGTGCCAATAAGTTAGGGGACAAAGCCAGCAAAATACTTATGTCCTTCAGAATTAGGCATGAGACATCTTCATTTTTAGGACACTGGCCTCTCGAAGGGAATCTAACCTGTCTGCTGCAGCCGTGCCCTTGGGCTGAAAGAAATGCAACATTCCTTGAGCCAGAAAATGAGTACAAGAAAAGGGTACAATTGTATAACTTTCTGTTTATGGCATTCACCTGACAAGGCAGGGAATCTGGATCTCATCCCTGCTTCAGAACCTTTTCTGTACTTTCTTTGTATTTATTTACATCTGGTCATATGCAGAAGTACAATTTCCAAGTTCACAAATTGAATCACCTGCAGAGTCTAAATACCTCCAAGGTGGAACACAGGAGTTTGCACCATTACACATTTGGACTTGGCTGAATTGTAGGCAACTAAACCCTACTTCAGACACTAGAAATCCTTGTCTGGATCCAGCCCAACAGTTCTGCCTTCCATTTGTTCTTCGAAAATATTCATTCATACCTTTTAAAACACAAACTTTAAGATACATGGCTTAAAATGTATGTTACGTTTGAATCATTTATGAATTAGGGTCTTCGTATTCCTGACCAAGTAATGCTATTTTAACATTCCACACTCAACACTTCAGTTATAACAGTGTTACTGTAATAGCTGCTGTGCTAACGAAAAACCATTCCGAAGTTCAACACCATACACACTGCAAAGTATTTGATCTTTAACGACTTGGTCTGGTACATTTGTTGGATTACAGAGTCATTCCATGTGACTGGTGAAAGAAGATGCTAACTTTACCTTTTCCAGATGCTTTGGCAAGAGTAGCTGACTCCCCAGGGCTCAGCCTGCCAGGATTGTTGCCAAAAATGGACTTCCTGCTTTTTCTTTCTTTTCCTCTGCTAGAGCCAGATGGGTTTAGAGTTGACAAGCCTGTTCCCATAAATGTAAAATAAATGAGCCAAAAAACATGACCAAGAGGGCAGGACATTTTCCATCATATTTTACATTATTTTTGAAGGCATGAATACTCCTGTTATATAGTACACAGGGCAAGCAGTGTATTTTTCTCCATAACTTAACATCTTTACATACATACATGCCTTTATATGTGTATATATTATGTATGTTTATATATATATAACATATATAAAAACTTACATGAAGCAATACAATATACAGTTATCTCTCTGTGATATTACTTTTCTCTATTTTACTTTTTGGCTTGAGGAATGTAGTGGCTCTATCTCAAATTACCAAATGGTCCTAATGAATACTAAAAAATTCTGCAGTCACAGTCCCAATGTATTCAACCTTAGAACAATTAAAAAAAAAAATCCTGTCTACAGAAGCAATAAATCTGTACCTTAGTGAATATAATGGAATTCATCTGGGATATAATATGTACATAATTAAATAAATGCAAGAATATGATTTAAAGATATAACATAAAGTAAAAAGCTCAAATGCTGTTGGTTAAACAGTTTAACCTTGAGATGTTTTCAGAGTTATCTTCTTCTGTTTAGAACTTGTATTTCAATGATGGGAATTATGGTAGGTGTGCAAAATCCATTAAGCATTTGATGGCAAATACGTACTATAAGTGGAGCTGGAAAGCTCTAGTGTAGCTGCTATTGAAACATATGCATTCTAGCAAAATAATCATTAAAATAATGATCTAAATCCCAGGGAAGTAAACAAACTTAATTCCCTTTAAGGTCAGTTTCTTTCTGTTGACTTGGAGAAAGCACACAGCAGACCAAAATTAAAGTAAGTCAAAATGCACGACAGTTATTCTGACACCCACAGCAGTGAGGTGAGGGACGCTCTCAGAGACTGAAGACACTGTTATTTGCCTAATTGTGACTCATAAAATGACCCCTATGAGCTCACATCAATTCACACCTGCCTAAAGAGAGTTCTGGACTTAACAGTAATATTTCAACTACAAATGTAAATCACAAAGAGGATACACTGGACTCTACTAAAGTCTGTCCACAGCTGTAAATTTTCAGCTCTCTATCTTTACAGCATGTCTACATGTACTCAGTAAAATTATGCTGATAGTTTCAATGCAACTGCTCGGGTTAGTAAAATCTAGGATATACACAAATGTTTTCAGCATTGGAGATGTACTTTCTCTTTGAGCCAAAGCATATACATAAACCACACAGAAGATGGTAGAAGCTGAGATGAAAGAATATGGACTGACTAGAAGAATGAGAAGTTATGCACTGTGTGCTTCCAAGCACTATTTAATCCCAGTTTTCAATGGATCAAATGGATTTGGCAAGCAAGATCCAGGTTGCAAAATCCTGTTGTGGAGACAGTCACTGAGGAAACAGGCTAACCTCATAAATCACCAGAGAGTGTAATGCAAAACACCACGGTTAACTGAACCTAGTGTGATGGCCACAGGGCAAGCTGCAGCTGGGAGTTTTCCTTCAGCCTTTCCCATGGCCGTGCTTTGCACGTGACATGCCTCCTCCCACAGAAAAACTCCATTTTTCACTCCAATTTAAACATGACTCCAAAATATAGCATCACCTATTCTTAGAATCATAAATTCATAAAATAATGGAGGTTAGCAAGCATCTAGAAGTCGTCTGGTCCAACCCTCTGGTCAAAGCAGGACCAGTTTAGATCCCACCACATTGCACATAGATCCAGTCATACTACCATAATGACGGAGTAAATGTTTTGTATTTCCCTAAAACCCCTATGCTATATCCTTGGAGTTACAGAATTTAGTGCCTGTAGCTTATGTTAGATATAACCACACTGCTTTACTGCTTTTAGATTTTTAATCCAGAGGATGGCAAACTTCCCTGCCCTTCTTAGTCTAACCATGCTAAAGTAACAGGTTAATTCTCATCTTCTCACCATGTGTTTCAGACCAACACTCAGTTAGTCTGCAGGTTTGCAGATCCTGAAAAAGAATTTATGGTACTTTTTTATGTAGGGTGCCCTTTATTATGTTCACTTTAATTTCTTGAAAAGCGATACCATAGGGGCAGATAGTCTGATACAATGGAGATGGCGACTGAATTTCCTGCTGGTTAGCTCAGGTGACTCCCTGCTCTCTGCACTTGATTGCGCAGATCCTGTTTTTATGTACTCAACTTTCTCTACTCATTGTGTAAGGATCCTCAGCACCAAGGCAACAAGCCATGTGCCAGTGTTACAGCAGTACTGTGCTCAAGTATGCTTCACTGCCCTCATCTTGAGTGACCCAAAAGAACAGACCTTCATCCTCTTAGATAATGGTATAATGATATCCAACAGACAGAAATTGAAACTAAGCAAGGATTGTAAGGGTCAAGAACCACCGAAACAACAAGAGCTGTGGTGGGTTCCGTGTTACCAGAGATTTTATAAACAAGAAATGTTATTTTCTCCACATGATAAATTCTGTTCTGACCAGGGAGCATTTAAGGAAGTCTGTGTTACTCAGGAGGCTAGAATAAGTGAACGTAACGGTCCTTGTCCTTTTTTATAGTCACAAATCAGTGATTAACATTCGGGGACATAGGCAACTGTAAACACACAATAGAAATATATGAAGACAGGAGAAATGAAGTATTTACACCATTGATAAAACATTGACATGAATTCTGCCCTCCCCATTTCCCAAACTCTCTCATTTCTGAGTTGGGTAGGAACCCAGTCAATAGAGCTACATAGTCACGGATGTACCAGCCTGGTCTCACTATTAATGGACAATATTGGGGTATATCAGTGCACCATGTCTGTGCCCTCCAGCTGAGCAGAGGAATCCAGTCAGTAGCGTGGTGGCCATGGAAGTCTACACGTCTTGCAGAGTAGGCAGTATTTCTCTCAAAGGAGACAAAGTTTGCTGGAAAACTAATTTCTACAGCTTCATGTGTTCATCTGTGAAAGGAACTAATTTTCTTAATTGTTCTATTCACGCCCTCTTTAAAGCAAGAGGAAGAAATCCAATAAGAAAAGAAGGTATTTCTTTTATAACTGAAATTACATTAAAAAATGAAGTATTTTGAAGTTTTCTTAGAACATCAGAACTTTTTTGTGTGTCAAAATGCTTGGAACAACTTAAACTCTCTCTGTTTAATCTTGAATATCATTCTTCAAAAGAAAATATTTTATTTGAAAGATATCTCATGGCAGATTTCATTAAAAAGAGTATCAGATTTTAATTTTTAGAAGTTATTATTTTTACAAGTGACACCTATAATTCTTAAAGTTATAGAAGATTGTAAAAGAATGTCTCTCCATTTTTCAGCATGTTTATCTTGCCTATTCGACACTATTTTATGTTTGGTTAGCTTCTCTGATCTGATTATAGTTCTATTTGTATAAGATCATGATTTGGCAGAATTGCTAACTTTTCCACAGAGAACCATTCCATTAAAAACCAGATTTTTCATTCAAAACATTAAACACATCAATAAACAATAAATTCTCAATTTAAAACTATTTATGTACACAGTATTAGCCAAAACACACTCAACCTCATGTCTCAGTACTGAACAAGTTACTATCAGTGATCTCCTCTTCAGTTACTCCCTCTCCTTCTCCTCTGCAAACATTATTCTTCCTACTGTACAAAAGACGACCCTCCTATTTCCTTAACCCCTTCCCTAAAGAGCGTGTGTGTAATCAGCTGTCCTCACCCACGCGATGAAAAGGCTCCTTTACCCCCCTCAAATGGCTCCGCTCCTATCCACTTAGGAAAGAACAGAAGATGCAGCTGCAGGTGAAGGTGAAACACGAAAACTGAAGTCTTTTAAAGAAACGTGACAAGCTCACTCCTGCAAGGTACAAAGAAAATTTTCCTTCCTAATTCAGTATGTCCTTACATGGAAACTCGGAGCTCTTAAGATACAGCTTTCTGTCGTCTGTCATTTGGCAATGAAGCAGTTGTCTAAGTTTTGAAGACTGGCAAATTTCACTTTTGTGAACATTTTAATATGACAAACAGTATGTCTTTACATAATTTATCTATACTACTTCTCAGCCAGAAGCTATCATTGTGTAGTCTACCAAATCATCAAGAAAAACAACTCCTCCACTACTTCAATTTGAAAGCGCTTGTACTAACTGATTCAAAACATAAACATAATGTCTCTAAGAATTAGAGAGTTTAAAGCAATAAAACAGGGCAGTGTACTTACCAGGGAACTTTACAGCTTGACAGTAAATGACAAGATCTGATAGCTCTGGAGCTATCTGCCTGCTTTCCTTCTTATTTTGCGGAAGATAGAATTCTTCACCCAGCTCCATATCGTACACCTAAGTGGCAATTCCAGGAACATATAATAATAAAATTACTGAATGTGAAAGTACTCTTGCATATCTTATGTCCTTAAAATTCTTTATGTCTTTCTTCCTATATGGTTTGCTGTCTTCACCTAACAGACTTCTGTGTGCAGGTTTATGCATCAATACCTGTTACTGATATTGGAACAGTGTGCAAAGGCCTCAGAGTCAGTTCTACAAAAATTTAGACAAAAACATCTGTGTTCAGAAGAAACTACAATTTACTAAATAGCAATGCAGTGGTTCAGTTGTCTGAGGATTTAATAAAAAGTAACATGGCAAACTGATATGATAGTGCAATATGTTAAAGTGATTTATATACACACAACAGTTGCTGAAGATTCAGATGAAATCTTCAGTTCCATTGATGTTAATGGAAATCTGATATCTAAATAAACTTCTGGATTTAGCTTCAATGAAGTCTTTTGTTGTCAGCAATGACAGTTAAAATTTTCAGCCAAACAACCTGTATATACAATAACCTCTGAGGACCTTTCTTGAACAGTACGCTGAGTGTTTGCTCTATTTAATCTATTTTCTCTGGTGTGTTTCCATGCTTTCTACTATTTGTCTTCATTAAAGCGCATTTGCCATCTGATGTCTCAGTTACCTAAACTGCTCAAATCCTTTTGAAGCTGGTTATATATCAAAGTGTGGCTGAGAAGAAAGAGGGAAAAAGCAGAACTACCTTTCCTTTATTATTGTACGTAGCACAATCAGCCTTCTTTATTCGTTTGGCAGTCTCTTCATTATATTCAAACTGCAGTTTATCACTTGATAATTTATTCTCAGGTCGGTCTTCAAGAATGTTATCTAAAAATTAATGGGATTTCAATAAACATAAAGTCAAACAATTTCAACTGGAAATTTAATTTGAATTAACAGTATTTGTGGACAATGCTGTGAATCTTCTCTGAATAACCAGTTGCCAAAATAATGCATTTACTGGTCAAAGCATTCTCTTTTAGTAGTAATTTTGTACTTTAAAAATTTAATGCTCAGCTTTGGTTAATATGTTGCACTTCTTTAAAAGCCCATCCTTTTGTGCTCAGAAGATGCTTAAAACAAAATCATCTAATGAATTAAGCTTGCTATCTGAAAACCACCGATATTCCTGAACAACAAAGAATTGCTCAAGTCCAAACACAATTAACCAAATCAAACATGTACACGTCTTTGTACAGAAAGTTTTGTCTTTCCTCTCCTTACATTCACCACGAACAAATATTTTTTACATCTACAGAAATTCCTCTTCAAAGCTACGTATTTATCAAGAGAATAATGCACCTACTAATTTGGTCTTTCTGGACCAAAATATTGTAACTGTCACAAAAGGAATGCTTTTATCTCATTCCTGATATTCTTGATGCTTTGCCCATATTCTTTTTATGCATAACCAGTGTCACACATGCAGCCTTCTAACAGCTCCTGACCAGTTAACAAATGACATTAAAAAATATCTTGATTGCATTTTTAATATGAAGTGGAAACCATATATTCACACTGTCACATTTAACAGGCTGGAGATGCAGTGCTGACTTCATGCAGTTAAAATGCTCAACCAAATGGCCTTTACCTTCCTGGCTGTTAGGAGCAGGCGAAGCATTAAGGACATCAGCTACAGGGAAACAGATTCAGAGAGGGAATAAGAGTAAAGGAAATTAAGAATTACAGCCAGAGAAATGAAAATTAAGTGTCAGTTGTAAAACTATTAGCCTTATATAAACCTAATGTATCAGTAAGGAAAATAAAACTGAAAATCTTTTAGAAAGTTTACAGACCATTATTTAGATTAGTTTTGCCAGATTATTAATGTAATTAAAGATCCCAAAGAACGATCATTGTAATAAAGCAGTAAACCATGCTGCAGATTCCTTTATATATCGGAAGGTGTGAATGTTTCTTGCTTCAGATTTCTCAAACCTTCTCTTAACTACAACATTGCTCAAACAGCACTTACTGCAGCTAGCTTGCAATATTTTCCTGGCAAGTGTGTTAACAAAGATCTAATTTTTTCAGTGCAATTTATATCTACACTAGCTCCACCCTGTCCTACACAAGGAGTATTCTCAAGTATCCAGTTAGGCCAACTTTCTAGCAAAATGCAACTGAAGACAACACCAGCAGCAAACTCATATATTTTCCTATTAGCATAAACAATACTGCTGACCCACAAGCAGTGTCCAGTCCTTAGTTTGGTGACTATTTTTAAATCATTAACACAGAAGCAAGTAATGTAAATAAGAGACCAGCTGGAAAGAAGTCCTGTGCTGCAGGGCATGGCACAAGCCTTACATCTTCCCTGAACACAGTACCTAGAACTTAAGCAGGTACCCATTAGACTTAAAGGTTCAATGAGTGAAGTACCTTACCTAGGAGAACATGCCTAACTGTGTCAGACCAATGGTCCATCTAGCTCAGTGTTCTTTTTCTGACAGTGGCAAGGGGAAATGCTGTTTAAAGAGAGCATCCAGCCACTAGTCATGGTCCACTTCGCTTGTACCACCCCAAACATCCATAATTGCTGAATATTAGGGATGTTGGACCATACATTTCTACCTATAACATTTGCTTATAAACCTGCCCATGAATTTGTCCAATCCTTTTTTTCAATCTGCTGATACCGTTTGCCTCTGCAGTCTCCTGTGGCAGCAAATTCCAGAAGTTTACCAACAGTTGCACAAAGTAATACTTTATTTAACCTGTTTTAGACTTATCTTCCACTTGTTTTACTGAGCACCTCTTAGATCTCAGGAGTAACAGTTCTGTATCCTTCTTATCTACCATTTAATGATTTAGTAAGCCTGCTTCAAATTCACCCCTCAGTTCTCTTCTCTACCAGCTGGAGAATTCCAACCTTTTCAGACTTGTGCAAGGCCACCACCACACTCCCTTTGTTTTTTCAGTTGCCCTTCTCTCTAACTTCCTTAACTTCACCATATCCTTCTTGAGATATGGAGGCAAGAACTGGACAGAGAACTCAAGTTGTGGGACATTAAGGTTTTATATTGAAGCAAAAAGATGTTTTATTTTCAATACTGTTCCTGATGGATCCTCATCTTTTGGCTATCACTGCACACCAAGCTGAGGATTTCAGAGAACTTTCAATAATTCCATGATCTCCCAGACTGTAACTGCCGTTGTTGAGTTTAGAATCACGTAAGCAAGGTTTAAGTTTTTTCCCTTAAATGTATTACTTTATGTTTATCTATACTGAAGTGCATCTGTAACTTTTTTGTCCCTTTGGTCAGTTTTGTGACCCATTTATGAAGTTTAACAATGGTGCAGGATTTAACTACTGAAAGACCTTGCTATCACTTGTACCATCACTGCTGTCTCATTGGGTAAACGTGCTGTGATCTACTTTGATATATTCTCCAAAAATTACCAATGAAAAATAATGAGTAACCCATTTAGATGCATCCAGCTTGTTCAATCCATGCATTGGGGTTTTGGCAAATGTCCTTTGACAAAACTTGAGAGGATTAAATGTTTCTGACTCCAGCTGTTTGCTTTACCAGAACCTACCAGCCCTGCAGCAAGAGAAGCAAAACAAGATGCATGACTTCAGCTCAGCTGCCTCGGTCTGGCACATTCTCTCTTTCATCTGTAGTTAAATCAAATGGGTCTGACTGAACTGGAGAGCTAAGTAAGTAGTAGAAGTTACTAACGGCAGTATTTGTTATCACTTCTGGCATGCCAATCATTATATGCAATCTATAAACTGGCCCTAAAGGCAGATTTATGCTAAACTGCCAGTTCCTGAAGGCTAGGATAGCTGAAGCATAGACAGCACATGAACTTACAAGGCAAGTCACTACAGCATGCCTTGCCACTTTTTAACTGAGCAGCTAAAGCTTTAATAAAGCCATCTTTATTGAACAAGCCAGGGACTCAGCAGCTTCTCTATCTTTACTCATAAAGTGAACAGCTGATGCTGAATGGGTAACTAAAATAGGTATTTCAAGGGTCTCTGGGATTAGATAGTAACCAAGGAGGACTGTGGACAATCCGCATCTTAGGTCAATTTAATGGCAGTCATGCAGGGGCTAACCCTGTTGTGAACCTTGAGCTTTCAAGTGTCTAAACTCCTTAGGAAAGACCATACAGGCAAATGTAGATACAGTACACTACGAACACAATCATTTTGCATAATATAAATGATATAAAATATAATTTATAAACACTACAATTTAGCATACACTGCATAGTTAAATCACCTAATGATTGGAGTTAAAGTCACACTCAAGTCGTCTACATAGTCAAATTATTTTCACAGTATTATAGACGACTGCACCAAAGTGCCACCAAGGACATTTAGTACATCTTCCTCTCACAGGGTAAGATCAACTTACCTACATCATTCCTGAACTAGAATATTTACATGCCTTATTGCTACAGTTCTAACAGCACTGTAATAAATAAATAGATAAATAAATATTGTTACCATCGGAGAGAGATTCATAGTCATAGTCATATTCATCCTCTTCATCTTCTTCCTCTTCATTGGTAGGTGTGGGGTTGCTAGCACCGTTGCTGGCCTGTGCTTGCATATGCGCCAGCTGGTGAGCCTAGAGCAACAGAACCACTTATTACATTATTGGTACATATTTTTAAAAAACAGAAGAGTTTTCATCACTGTTTGCATCTTATTTTATTTGTACAAAATATAAATATTTATATGAATATATATAATAGAAATAAGCAAGATTGTTAAGATCAAAGTAAAATATAATTTTAAGGGTTTGAATATACAGAAAACTTGTATTGGTAGAAAAAGAGCCAATAAGATATGAAATCCAATTAATTATGGGAAAACGTCCACTTTGCACATTATTCAGAGCAAGACCGCCTTTTTCCAGTCTAAGTATGCTGTTTTGGAAACAGTTTAAAAGTTTTTTGAAAGATGGAGAATGTCCATATACTGGTGCAACCAGTACTTACTCTGATACAAGAACTCAATTTAATTCAATTGTGTTTACATTTTGGGTAAAAGCAATTAGTTTTCAAGGATTCAATCTAATTGCTGACTAACCATAGACATTATTAAATTGAGGCCACCAGAGATGCAACCTTAATTTTTAGAAACATTAATTTAAAAAAATACTCATAAAGGTAAAAGCACTACTTGAAAGCAGAGTCCCCCCAAAAAGGGAGTAAGAAAGAGATTATTTGCCTAGCTTGAATATGAAAAAAGAAACAAAGCAGAATTCTACTAAAAATTATTATAAACTGTATATATACACACATACTCAATGCATATCACTATTTCTCAACAAACATGAATAGCAAACGTGATAGCCTCAGAGTGAAACTTCATTTATATTTATCACATAGGACATGTGGTGCTAACCATAATATCATGAGGTATTATAAAACTAAAAGACACTAAAATTTTGTTATGCTGTATCAATACTTCACTACATGTTTCATCTATTTATTTGAAAGTGTTGCAATCCACTATGAGTCTTCCAAGCATGAATATGCATGAGATTATTCTGCTGCATTTTGGAATGGCAAAAACTCCACACACAAAGGAATTATTTCTAACAAAAGTTAGGTCTCACTGCTTGCTATTAAGGAAGGACTTCACCTTTTGTTTCAATATATCCACTGGTGTTTGATGGGCTTTCAGCTTCTTGTTTTTAAGCAGGATTTTTCTTTTCAGTTGTCCAGGTGAAGGAAGCATGGGGTCATCAGAAAAGTCACTCTCAAATAAAAACTTTGTTACCAGCTTATCTCCAAATACGTTCTGAAATATTGAAAACATGTGATATATTATGGAGAATCCCAAGGCGCGTGCTTAGAATAGTTTACCACAACTTATGGCCTACCTTGAAAATTTCAGCCATCTTGCGTTGCTGAGGCAATGAACAGTGGTTTTCTATTGATATGATAATTGGCATGTCGGAGGTGATAAATGCATTGCGATCAATAGCTTCAACGACCTCCTGTGAGAAAGAAAGGTCATTGAAAGAACATGTGATTATTTTACAGCGTTCAGTTAACTTACTGTTAGTTGGAAGGCGAGAAAGGAAGGCATGTTTTCCCCTCTAAGAAGAAAGAATCCACAATTCGCTTTCAAAACAAGCTCCTGCAGATTAACCTAGCATCTTGTTACAACAGAAGTGGTAACAGCTACTTATGGTAGTTATGCTGACAATAAAAAGACAGAAAATTACAGCACACATGCTACAAAAACTAATTTGGAAAGCTTGATGTTTATAATTGAGGAGTCCATGTTTGACATGGTCCACAGTTCATATTCTACTGGGATTTAGCCCATTAGGATTTGTACTTCTGTAGCAGGCAAATTTTTTCCTTAATTAGAGGAGAAGTTACTGATTTTCTTCTCATTTTTTTGTTTCTATATGCAATTACAGAATCACAGCATACCTTAAAAGAGATCAATCAATCAATTACCAGCATACCTTAAAAGAGATCTTGGTAGTTAGAGTGTGTCCATGATAAATGATAGGCATGCCATCATCGCCATCCCAGCAGTCTAATTCTACACTTCTGCAGCCTTGTAAAAGGACCTACAATGCAATTGAGCAGTGTAAACACGTATAAGCCACAGTTTCATGCCATCAAAGCAGAAGACAGACATTGCAGAGCTAAATGAAAGCCCAGTGATTCAGCAAAAGTGCTGGAAAGAGCAATCTCTGTGGAGTAAACATAGCCCACAGAACCTACAGTCCCCAGCTAACTGCATTCCCTAGGTTGAGAAAGAGTGCAAAAATTAAGAAAGCATTTATGTTCTTAGGAGAAGTACCATAAAGCTTTGAAATTCATGGTATCTGACAGGACGCATGGAATCTGCTTGCAGAAAGTGGTTCTTAATATATAGCTTAATGTTCTGAGGGAGAGAAACATTTCCATGTTTCTACCTGCAAAAGCAGCTGTAAAGCAACACAGCAATTTATTCCAGGGTGCTACCGTGACAGTTTATGGGCTCGGCATCTGCAGTTTGTTTGCTGGTTCTTTTTGTTGTTAGCTTTTTAAATAGAAGAAGGTCCAAAAATAATGTCTTCTGAACAACTTTCTTGAGGATAGTTAGAATGGAAATGTGCCAGGCCATCATATTTAATGATATTAAGCTTATTTACATCCATCCATCCATTTTTTATTTAAGTTATTTATTTTAGAAAGCCCTACTTGCTAGAAAACCACTGAAGAAAGCAAAGAGGAAGGACAAAGGGAAAGATAATCTAACCCATCTGTTAGCAGCCCAGCTTATTATTGCTGTCACTATTCAGCATGCCTATCATTGAAAGAGTTACCTGTATTACAATTAAATACTTTACTGAAAACAAAGATCTCGACGATCAAAACCATTTCCACCAAAAACATTCATGAATAAAGAAGAAATTATTTCTCCTATTCAAAACCTGAATAATTACATTTCAGGCAGTTGTGTCTGTAGCTGGAACACCACCACTTCTGTGATAGCCAGACACACCGAGCCAGAACAAAGTGCCCCTTCTCTTCTGGCGACAACTACTTGAGGGATAGGAAGAAGCTTTTCTGCATCATGCAAATTTTGGAGCCAGCTGAGTTCTATCTCACTTCCCATGGATTATCAACACAATACTCACATTACCCTGTGCAGTGCTACTACAGGAACCTCCTTTGCAATTGCATTGTTCGATGCAATCGTGTTTTTTGGGCTTTACAAACACAGCCTCACCCCTCTGTCTTACAACTCCAGGCGAAGCAGCTCATGGGATGCCAGATGAGCCCGTCTCAATCGTGAGTCATTAACATTTAGAGTAATGAAAACACTACTCACAGGAAGTTTAATGCTTTCTCTAGCATTTGGTAAATACACAGACACACAAATATATATATACACACAAACAAACACAGAACCAAAAGCCCTAGGGAGAAATAGTTCTTTTCCTGTCCACCACCAGTCAGGCATAAAGTCTAAAAAACTGCAGAATATTCCTAGAAGTAGTGTTTTTAGAAGTTATAGTTCCATTTGAAATTTGTCTTTGCAGTGCAATGTACAGTTTTTGACATCTGAATGAACTAAAATATTAGATCAGTCTTTCCTGTGGGAAAGTCTAATTTTAGTAGGTTGGGTCAGACCGACTGGTGTCTAAATGCTATGAATCTCAAACTAAACCAATTTTTTTGCCTTAGAAAAGGCATTTGAGCACAACTGTGCTTACAGGCAGCTTTCCCACACATCATGTTTTCCAACGTTTTGCAAGCAGGGGTTGAGGACATTTAGATTTTCAAAGCACAAAGGTCATGTTTCTGCGACTTGCCAGTTAAACGAACAAGTACATGTTGAAAACTACACAATGATCCAGTCCTGCATACCTGGCTGTAGAGCTCGACTGAAGACTCCCCTTTAAGCTGATGGCCTGTAAGGTAAGTATTGTGTGAAGATTCTATGTAGTAATACGACAGTGGAAAGTGCAAGTCCTCAGCATTCTCTTGTGACTCATCATTTTTGGAGGCAAAGTTGTCTTTATCCATCAGATATCTAGAGGTGAGAAGATGTGAGGAAATTTTATGCTGTGCTGAGTATTTTGTGACTGTCATACAAACATCAGTACACTGGTGTCATCTTTTTTTATATATACGTGTGTGTGTGTGTGTATATATAGATAAATTAACACATAAATAATTACCTTGCAAATCCTTCAAAAGATAGCAGCCCCTGCTGGCACATATTAACACTGGGTTCAAATTTCTATAAAGAGGAAGAAATATAAGAGATAAGTAATAACAATTCTTAGAAATACGGCTTTTTCATATTTTCATAGTGTAGCCTGCTCACTGAACTAACCAGTTAGTATCTAAAACCAGTCTTTTTGTGGCTGAAGTAACGAGGCGCCTGCAAGTCTGCTCATGCTTGCTTTACAAATCACTAAACAAGCGCACTAAACTCATAATTGTAAATCATTCAGGTTGGAAAGGATATCGGGACGTCATCCAATCCAACCGCCTGTTCAAAGCAGAGTCAGCACTTAAGCTGAAATTAAAAAGGATCTGTAATCAGACATCCTTCGCCTATCTATTGTGCTTTAACAGAACACACCACCATCCTGAATTAAAGATTTGTGGTACGGCAACTTGATGTTTCTTTATAATTTCTGTCTTTTAAACGTTGCAATTTTATATTACATCTTCATAGTTGAAATACACAGTTTTTAGCCTTTGTTAACTGCTAAGTGGGGGCTTAATTTTGGAGTATATTAATTATGCATGTTTGAAGGAGTTAAAAAATGTCTATGTACTTTCTAATCACTTCAGCCATTGTACATAAGGGAATAAAATGTCCATGTTTACTCTGGAAATTGCATGATTTTTTTTCTATTTATGCACATATTTACAGACATCTGCAGAATTTTATAGCCCAGAATAAAGATGGTATTAAATTTTAAATTCAAGTAAACTGTAGTGACAACATCAGTGTGAAAGGAGATATCCACACAAATATGCTATTCTGACTACGGACAACGCTAGTGGGGAAAAGAAACAAGAGTTCAAGTAAAAGGAATTGCAAGTTGTTTGTGTTGCAGACCTGGATAATACTGAGGATTTCATCATAGGTGCAGTGTTCTCCTTGGCAATTCACTAGGAAGTCATTCAGCTGCTGGATTCCCACTCCAAATATTCCCAGCGATGTGCTTTCAACTCCAGTACCATTGGTTACAATACTGGCAGCAGCAATAGCATCAGATATTTGCCTCTGGTTGTCTGACAGTTGCTGCCTGCTCTTAATGAACAAACCAAGGTCTGAAACATTCCTAGTCAACAAATCTTAAAAGAAAAAAAAATAGGCTATATTACGTGTGTAGAATATAATGTAATATATAATATACATGAATATCTGGTTGAATATTTTAGCACTTACGTAGTAAATTAGAACAAAACCATCTTGTTTCTACTCACTAATACAACAAAGAGTACAAATGCAGGCAAAGCTCCAGACTTAGATTATGGTAACTGTGGAACGTAAAGGAGGACAGAGGTTTCCTTCCCCCTTGTCCCACATAAAGCAGATCTACTAGGAAAACACCAATCAAATGAGACGGGGAGCACAGCCCCCTCATTTCTCCTCCCTACATTTGCTCAGTGTTTTAGCCCTTCCAGACCCCCTGCAACCAGATACAGATCCCTGTGTTGGGCCCAGCCGCTCAGCAACAAGTTTTATGCCTCTGCTATACCAGTTACAAATGTATCTGGCTAATTTGAAGCAGGAACACTTTTCTCCCCTTCCTTTCTGAACATAGAAGCTGTCAACACCCTGCTAACTGGGTATTAGTGGAGGTATGGCAGCAATCTTCTACTTAAATCTTACAATTGATAGCTCTTTATGAGACGGACAGACACTTTTCCTTAATATCAGTAACTGAAGCTGTTGAGCAGTCTAACAAGTCTAAAGAGGCTGTATTTTCCTCTTATGAGACGGACAGACACTTTTCCTTAATATCAGTAACTGAAGCTGTTGAGCAGTCTAACAAGTCTAAAGAGGCTGTATTATATATGTTAACAAACCTAAATCAGGCTGGAATCCACTGCTATTTTCATCAATCTTCAAATTAGTGTAAAGTGGAGCAGGCTCTAAACCAGATCGATTACAAGGCACAGCATAGACATCGAAAAGGTCTTTCAGATCCTTGCGGCTACGGACACTGCAAAAAGAGTTGAAAAGTTCAATTTTTGCCCTTTTATAAACTTGGATGAATGAGATCAGTACAGAATAAAAATATATCTTACCTGAAAGATTTGAAGAGCTCTACAAATTCGACAAACGTCATGTTACTGTCAGACACCATGAAGTTCTGAAACCCCTTCATTCCTCCTTTAACGCGGCCGTGCCAGCTACTGCTGCTCCATGTGCTAAGTCAGAAAGAGACTGCTGTAGTTTGGTTACATTAAAATTCTACTTATTGAAATATTATGCAATACTGCATTAACACTTTACTTGTGTTTACACTTTATTAACTCTCCTTAATGCATTTATTACCAATATCTGAAAGAAGCAAATAAAGCAGTATCTTGTAAGACCCATAACGACAGTTTGTACCATCTTGTCTTAGAGCATCTATTCTTTCCCCTGAAGACAACTTCAGACTTTGCCAGAATTGAGAATGTATATGCATGCTATTTAACACTATTCCATGTGCAAAAGGGCCTGATGCAAATGGCACAAATGAAAGCATTCTCATCTTCCCTTTAAAGAAAACAATGCCAGTATTCTTGTAGTGCAGGCTGTTTAGGAGGTTTGTTGAAGATTTGCTAAGGGAAAAATAGAATGGAGGAAGAATTCCTTAAGGCTGTTAAAATAAAATAGCAATATTCTGACTGAATACACAAGAAACAAATATTTTTCTTATGCACCTGGGTTTTCTTATATCTGGGAGCATTAAAGGTGCAGATTTTAAGAAGCATAACCCTTCCTCTTTCCAGGCACTCAACCCTCATTGTTTCCCAGCCCATGGATTCCCTGGATAATCCCAGCTATTCTTGGGAAGTATCATCAGATACCTCAAAAACAGGTCAAGCCCTTCTTCTTTTAGGCTTGAACAGTAGCCTCTGGAGGCCATTTCCTTCTAGAAATGAGGTTCTAATGATCTCCTCCTTTCAGCTTTGTGGACTGAATGAAGGAAAACAGACTGGAATTTCTTGAGGGCAAAGGCAGAAAATGATCACAGAAACAACTAGGTGTTTGGTGCTAATTATTTCAGTTGACTTAAGTAATACCAAGCTCAGCCAATTTCTTTGTAACTGCAATAGTTAACATAAGTTGTGCACTTGAACAAAGTTTTTGAAGCAGAACTGGTACATTTCCAAAAGCCACATCCCAAAATCTTCAGGCTACTACAGGATTTACACTAGCAAGCGTAGTTAGGCCCTGACTTGAACTATCCCTTGAGCAGCATGAACAAGCTCTCAGTGAATTTCATATACTAATTTGCAATGATGGGCCAAGCTCTTGAGCCCCTTCCTGGGCCTAAACACCACTGAACACACACTGCAGGAATGGGATCCACCAGCATCCTGAAAACAGAGGGATCTAAGCAGCCAGCACAAATACAAAGAACTGTCTAGTTTAAACTGTAACTAACTCCAGAAGTCACAGTATTTGTTTCAAAATGCCAGGCTTAGTGACCGTGTGTCAGACTTTATTGCTTTGCAATGTTCAAATCTACAAATCCATTAATCTATGAATTCTGCCGTCAAGTTCAGTACAAATAGTTCCAACAGCTGCAATGGGAAAACAGGACCAGCTTGTTGTCCTGTGTTTGTAAAGACATTTGCAGTCACCTGCTGCAAACAGGCGACATTTTACATAAATACGCTAGATCAGATTCCTCAATTCACTCCTGGCCTGGGATGCATGCATGCAATTGAAAAGAGAATGTGATAAAAAGTATTAAAAAATACCATCTGCTTTAACTGATAATGTTCAATTTGTTTGAAAGCACTATGGCAAGTACTGACATACTGCATATAACTTTCTGGCTAAAATCATTCCTAACATTTTTATCAGACAAGAAAAATAAACCATGATGACGAAAGTCTCTTGACTCCAGAAAACAGACTGGAACTGTAGAGTACCAAATGGAAGATCAGCAGCAGATTATAATGCTCTGCATTTCACTGGATCTGATCACATGAAGGGTGTCTTCCACAATTGTTCGGGTTAAAAATCGTGTGGGTTATAAATACAGGTTGTTAAAAAAAAGCCAAAACCCCCAAGAAAACCCCACTACTACCAACAACCAAAACTGTAATGAGAAGCAGTCTGGATTATACCTGTATACAGCTAATAAGGGAGGCAGTTTACTCTCTCTTTGCAAAAAAGCCCCCATCTCTAATTTCCCATATCCTGTTATCTGTTTCCCAGTGGCATTACTACCCTTCCCCTGCTTCCTCCACCTTACAGGTGGCACTAGATTTCCAAAGAACTTGGGAATTTGCTGGATGAACATCTGCTTTGAAGAATGACAGAAGACAGCTGCAGACTACCTGTGTTTGGAAATTATCTGCACATGTGGCTCACACTAGGATTTTTTTCTCAACGTGAATTATTTGTAAGGAGGTCAGCAATATTAAGGCTGAGAGTCATATACGTAAAAATACCATTTTTCATTCTCTACCTGTAAGAATTACTATTATTTAAAATGTACAACAAAGATAGCCAGGTCCTCCTCTTTTTAAATTGCTATCATTATATTTAGATTTTTATTTCACTTTAAGAAATCTTATTTTATTTAGCACTTATCACTTGGTGAAGACAATCTAATTTACTGGTCAGGTAAAGTTAATTCACATATTATATGGAAAGAGAAAAAGAACTAGAAATCTCTCTTGCTTTCCTCCTCCTAGCTGCTACACTGCAGCTAACAATCATTACCAGCTCAGCTTTCTGTGCTGCAAAGGCTGGGACCCTCTGCTCCCTGCTCTCCCAAGCTCTAGGTTCTGTGCGGAATCATGCACTCACCTAACGTGCACAACCAGTTCATGTCCAACACTGCCTCCACCTATGAAGCCTTGTTAGTGTTTGTGTCTAAATCCAGATGCTAATCTGAATTAATAAACTCTGTTGGCTCTAATCTGTGTAGAACCATACAAATGTGTATCAGCACTCCCAGTGGATCCTGTATTTCCTAGGTTATTTCATTATCTAGGACATTCCAACTTTCTGTTACTTTGGAAAATGAATGCTTCATTTATCTTAATTATGTTACTGACAAAACTGGTTGGGTGTAACTAAGTATAGAACTTGATTTTTATGAGACTGCAGAATTACCAACAAAAATGGAGCAAGAAGAAACAAAAGATGTTTGTCCAGCTTGTGTGGGCTCCCAAACTTACTTTGCTTGTGTATCACCGCTGTTAAGAGCAGCAGCTTCCAGGAAGAATATTGCGCTGCCTGCAGTCTGTACATCCACAGCTTGTGGACCACTGCCCCAGTCTGCTCCTCTGTCAGTCATATCAATGCTGCTAAAGGCATCCATCCTGCCACTTTTTCCAAGGGGGGCAGAAAGACTCAAGTTCACATTGCTCTGCACTGCCCAGCAATTGGCTCAGGTCTGGTTTGGTCCCCCATGGCGCTTGCATGTCTCTAAGACATAATTTTACTTTTTGGTGTGTGTTCTATCTGAAGTGGCTGAAATAAGCCGTGGCATATGTTATTTCTTGACAGGCTGCCATTTATTTAATGTAACACAAAGCAACAGGACGTGCCATGGCTGTGGGTGGATTGCCTGAAGGTACAACCCTTGCTGGGAGTGTGTCCTGTAAGAGTATATTGTAGATGGTTTGAGACGAAGCTCTCCATCCACACTATCTCCAGAAGTCTCTGGAGCAAATATTCCCAGAACTGCACCTAAATTCTATCTTGGAGGCAACCAGCTGGTTTACTCTAAAAGACACCCCAGGAGTGAATTAATACGCATACAGCGTGGATGATCACAGGACTTTGCAGCAAAGCAGGGAGCCAACTATTTCATAGCTTAGACTTACTAACCACAGTTGAAGCACTACAGATACTTCTTTCTTTTAGCACATGTGAAGCGTCCACACACATGAAAACTGGCAAGCACAATTCAGACCTATCAAGGGTCCAAAGGGCAAATACCAAGAACAAAACTCTTTCAAGTGCTCCAAGTCTCTTAACGGCATCTGAAAATTGGGTCAAGGTAGTGGATAAAACATGTAAATCTGTACTGAGGAAGATTTTCTCAGGACAGATGAAACAGCCATACAGCTGTAGCCTAAGCAAATTCTAGCACGAAGGGTCATATCAAGCTGAGGAGAGCTCTACTAAGCGCTGCTGTGGAATTTCCACACAACTTTGCCAGGGAAAACCTGTCATAACTTGGGGAGGCCCACAGTGCTAAGCTGCACAGGGATCCGTACAGAAACCCAGGACTGGGAGGATTTAAGAGAACATTAGCTGTCCTTCCCGCGGGAATGTGAGTTCTCCGTTCAGCTTTTTCTGTTGAGCCTTTTAATCTCATTTAGAGAACAACAATTATTTTGGCATAAAAGCAAAAAGCAGATTTGCAAAACAGAGCAGCATTTTCCAGAGGTAGTAAAGCAGTATTTCTCCAGTTTAATGTAAAAGAAAGCTGTTCCAATCCTTAAAAAAAAAGTCTTACAGAGATAAATCCTAGTCTGACATGTTCACCCCATGGTTGTGAATGACAGTGAAGAACAAAAAGCAAAGAACATAGTAAGAGTTTCAGAAAGCAGTGTTGAAAGGAGAGGCAGCCAACCACAGATGTCCACAGGTGGCTCTACTACTCACATCTATTGCCAAACCCAACCGTTTTAAGTGTAAAAAATCCCTAAGAAATACACAACATAAACCATTACACAAGACATGTCTCTTCAAAAATAATGTTCTACCAGCAGCAGTAATCTCTTCCATTATTTACCACTGCTGTCCTGGAAACGCCAAGATTCATACTCATAAACATACCTCAGTATTCATTCTGTTAAAAGGCCCGAGAAGGCCTCTGTTGTGACTGTCGTCTTGTATGATATAAAGTACTATCCACATTTGTGACATATTATCATCGTTATATTCTTATTACTACAACTACTACCACCACCACCATTATTACCATTTATAGAATTAATACGTTAGTGTACTATGTCACTGCATGACCACAGCATGACCTTTTGCACTGCCTAAGTGGCATGAGAAGGATGAATGTTCAAGAAGAGACCTGTAAGAGAAAGATTTCAAATCTGTTCCTCCAATTCCCCGAGACGGTACTGCAATCATCACCAGGAATGTCAGTAAAAGTTAAGACTCCCCCAGGTAGAAACGACTGACGCTGAGAAACTTCAGAACTTCAGTTCACACATCTATAACCTTTTTGTGTTGATTTTCAGTGTACAGAAGATATCTATAACTATGTTTTGGAGAAGATACAGAGAAAGAGTTAAACTCTGTATTTGTGTAGTTTTGGAACAGCATTCCAATCTGCTTTTGTAACAGACAAACTGAAGCATGCTGCTCAGGGACTTGCTACAAAGCCATCCTCAGATTCATGGTATTTCAGCTTAAATGTCCTATGTTGTTCTACAATGTTTTAGATGTCTATCAAAAGGCCAATGACATTTCTGGCATTGTTTTTGTCAGACTTCATCAGTTTGGCACAAAACCCACATTTGATAATAATTAACAGTAACTTTTTTTCTTTTTAAATCACAGCATTGATTTTCTCCTTACCTAGACTGACTCTTGCTTGAAGGCATTACAGGAGAGGAGACTGGTCTTGCTGGTGAAGATGTTGTAGCTCCTAAATTAGGAGATCCAGATGCTGTCAGAGAGTGAGCTCTTCTTGATGGCAGGTTGTTAGATAGAGAAGCATTAATAATAATATTTTGATCTATGGAGAAAACAAAAGTTTGCAGCACAATTACAACATCTGGGTGGCCCAATAAAAATGCTTTTGTCCAAGAGACCTATGTCATAATTCATTAATTTGTAGTAAGGGATTCTGGTTTTGTCCCAAGAGAGTCAAAAAGATACATTCTGAACAATACTTATATACCCATTTCATCTGAATGGAAAGGAAGTGCTATTGAAACTAAATGAAAGAAAAATCACAACTACAGGAATTAATTTAAAAGTTTATAGCATTTGGAGTTTCAACTGCAAAAGTAGTTTTATATCATAAATGTATTTTTAACACCATGAAGAATGTCTGTATAAAAAGACTTTGAGCAAAACCCTGAGGGACCGAAGTACTAAAGCTATATGTCTACCTGGTTCTTCCTGTTCATCAATATCTTGAGGATCCGAACCACTTCTATTACGATACTCCTTACAGCTTTTTGCCTTCCGAGTTGCCATTTCATCATCAGTGGCCTCTCCACTTTCACCCTAGAAATAATGAGCGCCATAATAAACATCCTGAAAACACTACCTTTCCCATTCTTTATCAGTGCAATTTGTAACAAAACCATGAGATAAATCAGCTATTCCTCAGGAAACACACTCCTGTAAGGCCGATACCAGTAAGAAAGAGACAACTTAAACAGGGTACATAAAGAAGCAAGGGACCATTAGGTGTTACCTCAGTTTGACATCACACAGAAGATGACAATGATCATGCCTCTGTAAAGCGGTGCAGCTGGGTCTACACTATTCCCTGATGCACAGGAGCCCTAAAGAGTACGGATCTTGTCATTTGAGGATCTTCCCTACCTGCCCACTAGAACATGTGGACAGCATTGAGCTTCTACGCCCTGCATTTTCCTCTCTCCCGACTACTGCTGAACGTGGCTGAGTCCAGGAAAAGAGACTGCCAGACGAAGTCCAGTACTCCTGTCAGCCATGTAAAATAAAACTGCATGCTAACTTGAGGCGGAATAACTGTGGTGATGTTTTTGGGAACATGAAAACAAAAGGAGCAAAGAAACTGACAGCAGCCTCCAAACATCACTTTGCACATTAATATTTTTATTATTACCAATATTTTACATTTATACTGAGGTAGCACCTAAAGGTCTCAACAAGATTCTGTCCCCTTCTGCTAGCCCCAGTGCCCACATTTCTTGAGAATGCTTAAAGCGTGAGAAAAGAAACCCAAACTAATGGAAAACAATAAACCTGAAACTGCAATAAACAGTTTTAAAATTATCATCTAACTTTTTTTCTCTGATGCAGAATACACAGTAACTGTAGGAAGGAAACAAATCAGACAGGTAAGAAACAAAATATATGAATAGCAAAATATTCTACCCTCAAGAGTACTTTCTTCTTTTTCTTAGCTGTGCTTATTCCCAAAGTGTTGTTTCTCTGTACACTAGGTTTCTCAGTGGTTTTGGTGAGAGTTCCCGTGCTTGTGTTTCTTGCACTCCATCGTCTGCCTCCAAACAGTTCAACAGCCTGAGCCAAGGTTGGACCTTCAAACCTTCCATCCTCCTACAAAAATTCTCAGCGTTAACAAAACAAGGAGAATAAGAACAGATACATTTTCTTAATCAATAATAGAGACATCTCTAAGGAATCAATGAAAGACAAAACATCAAGAGGAGGCAATTTTTAATTACTGCATGAATAGCAAAGGGATATTTTATTTGCTATTTTGGGGTTTTTTTGGCCCCAACTCTCATCACTCAGCACCCTTTTCTAGTACAGTCATTGCTTTTTATTTAATAAAATACTTATTCCAAAACTCCAAACATATGAAGAGCTTCATAATAAAAAAAGATTTAACTTCAGTGTATTGAAAACATGCAAGGTCTGACAGAACATTATGTAGAGAATCAGATCTTACTGACTTAAGCTGTGTTACAAAGTTGGAGATTTGGCACTCATCTTTAATATTAGCTTACTTATAATAGAAACTAATTGCATTACATGAAGTTGTTGTCATCTTTGAACTTTTCTTATACAAAAATCACAGCATCTTTTACCTGGTAAAGGCTGACATACTGTTTCCGTAGCCACTGTAGTCTTTGATCAGGGAATCTCCTCATTTTTCTTACAGCTTTAGTCAATTCCAGCAATCCATCATATAGCATTCTGGCAGTATATTTTGGAGCAACAAAGTGCAGCAACTTATTATCAGTAGTCTGAAGTCCATAAAGTAGTGTTATACCATTTTCTTCAAGGGACATATTACAAAGTTTGTTTTGAACACACACAGTGTGCATATCAATGCCAGAGTGTCCCATGTATACAGCCTTGGCTGAAAACAAGTCCAGAAAACCTTCCACGAGTCCAGTATTACCAAAAAACTGGTATTTACCCAGCTCAGCAGTATTACCCAGCACACTCAATTTTGCCTTGGCATTTGCAGGGCAAACCGTTGTGGGTTTTGTCCAAGTCAAAGTACTATTGTCAGGCTGAAGTTGAAGAAAGCAACGCGCTGAGAGATGTGTCTCCTGGTCATAATGAATGACGGTTGCCCCTTGTTGCATGAACTGATGGACATCAGCCCTAATAGATAACACGTACCAGGGAATGAGTTCTATCCCGTGGCAGAAAGCCTTTTGTTGCTCTTCTGTTGAATTTGTGTCCCATTCCTTCAACTGCTCAAATATATCACTTTCAGAATCTGAAAGATCTCCAATTATAAATCTGTAAGTGAACAAAGATAAGAAACTTACATTTAGTGATACATGTGCTGATTTATGCTATGATTGATGAATATTTTTTCTGCTGGAGTTTAAATAAAAAGAATACTATTGTCACTATATAATTTGGACCTACAGGAACATCTGTAGTCTTTACAGTACTACAATTTATGTTATTGCAATTTTGAATTAATTAACAGATGCTGCTACAATAATAACTCCTGTAACAATATAATTATATTTTCATAGAACTTTCCAAACATTACATTAACAATGAAAAACTTCAGTTTGGCTCTTAAAGCCAAGTTATTCCAGTTTCTAAATCCACAGCATAAGGTTTCTTCAGTTGAAATATCAAGTATCATATGTGTAAACTTGTAGCAGGATCTAGTGGATTGAAGACATGACTTCTAATCTCTGTTCTATTATTGATTTAATGTGCAGACCTTTCACATTATATAATTCTCTGATTAACACTTGTAAAACAGTGGTTAAAACACATGCCTTCCTCCGAAGCACGCAGCAAGAATTTTATCGGATGCTTTGTGTTAGAAAATTTAATTTTACTTAAGCAAAATATTAACATGCAACAAAATTTTTTGAAATATTTTATATAATATATTTAATATATTAGAAACAGTAGATACAGAGCAACAATAGTGAACTAATAAATGAGGTAGTTTAAATATAATTTCTTCCCTACAGAAGCTTCTAGCATGTATGAAGGAACAAATGTTCAATATTTTGATACTGCTTTAATGAACATTAAAAAAAGCAAACTGTTCCGGTTACAGCAGAACTAACGAAGCACATTTTCCTAAGGATATTTGGCCAATAAAATGCAAACCGGCTTCCTCTGAATATTCTTCAAGGCATCTTGTTCTAGTACCCTCAGTGCTTTTCTTTCACATCACCAGGGTATTCTCAGCTCCTCCCCATGTCCTGCCAGCTGAGCAAAGGACGATTCATCTTGTGACTGGTTCCAAGCCACATATACCATCTCCCTAAGCTAAACAGCACAGATAACCATTAGCTCCTCCTCAAACTCTTCTCTCCCCGGGGCACTAATTAATTTGACCTTTTCCCTTATTCCATTCATCAGTTCTAATGATTCCTTTATGAATTTATTAATCAGTGAGACCTCTACCTCCCTGCCAAATTTAGCTAAAAGTGGCCAGCAGGCTGAGGATTTATTGATTGTCGTGAGGAGGCTGACAAACAAAAGCAGAATAACTGTATCAGCCTTAACTGCAGCTCTATTTCCTTAAATCTTCCTAAAAATAAAGGTCATGCATTGTAACTAAGCTGGAATAAACTGTCTTACCAGAGTCTTACCGGACACATGTACATTAAAATATCTACTTGTATTATACAAGATTAAGATTTTCAAATTAAACAAACAACTAAAGCAGCTTTTTCTCCCCCATGCCCTCAAAACAACCAAATAAGTCTGCAAAAATGCCAGAAAAAGTATTCTGAGACTAGATGTGCATGGCTGGAGGACTCGAATACAGTGGAGACAGAAATGGCAGAGCTTTTTTTATGCCTTATTTCACATTTGATAATACCGGCATGCTGCAGATTAAAATGTACAAGACGCAGGTAAGCCAAGCACACACGTGTAACCATACACAGAAACATAACCTCTGACATGAGCTGCCAAAAGCAACACAGCTATCACTTATTGAGAAGACACTTACAGAGCTCGGTTTGAATCAGCTTTCTTTACATGGGCTGCACTGAGATGCAAGGAAATGGAAACAAAGGATAAAGGAAACCTTAAAACAGACTGTGGTTTTAGAGAGGAAAATTACATGGGATACAAACAGGAAAAAACTTGAGGTTTTCCCCTATTACTTTAAAAAGTATTTCCTGTAATTAGGAAAGTTTACAAGTGAAGAGGAGATCAGGCTAATAAAGCGATGCATCAAAGTTTAGATTATCTTAATAGGTCATCTGATTAACCATTCTACAAAACCTATATTTCAAACTTGAAATTTTTTGTCTTCTCCTACCTACCTTTATTTATTCAAGAACTGTCAAGACAGAGTTCTAATAAAAATTAAAGTTTGATATTTATCTGGCATGTACAGAAATTCAGGGTGATTAAACAGGTCACATTACAAAGTGGTAGAGTTTATTTGCTAACACAACTGGGAAAGTAATTATACCCATTTCCAACTGTTTTTATTAGATGCCTTTCATTTTCTTCAAATCAAACTAACCTATCAGCTTTGCTGGGTTCATGTTCTGCAATACTAATCCAAATCAGCAAAAGGCAAACCAATTGAAAATCTTCCTTGCAATTTTAAAGCAATGAGAAACATGTTGTACAGTGTATTTTTCTGCCTTTATGACCAAAAAACTACAATTATCAGGTAACACATAATTATTACATAATTTGGATTTTGTAATGTTGTATGCAAGTATGACTTAGGTCTCACAAGAGAGATACCTAAGTTTCTTCCTTAGGACTCTTTAGTTGTCCATAGCATTAAAAAGAAACGAAACATTGCAGCCTCGGTACAACTGCGACAACAGAGTATGGCCCTTCTGCCTCTGCAGCAATTTGGTCCTCTGCCTCACCCAGCTCTCTGAATGCCCAGGAAAAATACGGCAGGTGAATAAAGAATTTCTAAAGTTTATAAGGTACTTGAACCAAATTAATACTTTCAGAAGTATTTTTCTACAAGTCATTATGCTGTTAAAATCAGTACCGGCTGCACCAGAACTACAGATACTAATAACTGAGTAGTTAGTAGTCTGAATCAGGAAACATAACTTTGATTACCTACCTGCACTTTTGTTCATTTGTATTTTAAACTTTCATTTCAGTGTCATGTTAGGGTGTTTTCTGCATTTAATTCCTACTTTAAATAATCTAGTGAGTTCTACTCTTAATTATTTAAATATAGATTATTAATTAAATATAAAGCATAAGTAACTAATTTACCAAGAACTGATTTCATAAACACAGAGAACTTCATTTTCTCCATATTGTTCTTTTATGTTGAAATTCTACTTTAATCATCCACGTGAAATGTTGATTGTGACTGTGAGTTGCAAACTCATTTTAAAGCATATTATTATAAAAAAATTACAAAACAATTTTTTATAATTAATAAATAAAATAATTCCTGGAAGAAAGCATTTGAAGTAAGTCAAGAGACAACATAAATGGACAGAGAAGTGGGACTGTCTTTCTTGGCTTAATCTACTACTCCACTTCCCAGAAGCAACTAAAGCCAGATGTGAATAATTCTATTAGAAACCATTCTTTCAGGAAATAATGATTATTTATCTGAAATGAAATTTAGAAATGCATGTTAATGAAATAAATGCATTTAAAACAGGAAGATGGTAGTTCCTTCTCAGGCAGTCACTTATTAGATTTTACATGTAAGTAGCTGAAATATGTTGGATACTTCTGAACATATGGGTATTTCTGATACATATTATCAAGAAAACACCTCAAGCAGTGACCTAAGCATGCTCTTTTATGCAAGCCCTCACGTAATTTTACAGCACTTCACCACTGAACAGTACAATTCTTAATTTGAAGTTACTCGAACATGGCTACTTAGTTAAAGCTGACTCACCTACATCTATATGGGCTGCAACTTCACTGCAAAACAACATTCTAGGAGATCAAGTGATATCTTAACCTCTCCATTTACCATATTTCTTTCTGGTAAATAGTACAGAATATACCAGGTCTTCAAAGTGAAAATCTGAGATTACTGAACACTGGGCTGGGGCACAATTAAGTAAACTTCCATGCAAAATAGCAGGACTACAGCAACCTGAAAATTCAAAATGTGTACTGACTTACAAATGTTTTCTGGACATAATTTAAAAGCCTCAAATGAACATGTCCTTAAAAGAAGAGGTCCTTTGAAGGATAATAAATAACCTTTATTTTGAAAGGGGCAGAACACTGACCGAGTGTGCAGAATATAATGTTCTGAACTCTGATAACAGATATGTCCTGGTGCTATTCCTGTCACCACAGATCAAAATTGTAATCGTAACTGTGGATTTTTAAAGCTCTATGTGTAAGACGAAAAGGATTTACCCTTATCATGAGAGGAAGTAATTACATCATGAGGGAAAATATAACTATACAGAGAGTTTCCAAGCATTTGAGTATCAGATACTTAGCATAAATCCAGGGGGGGGAAATTCTGAATTGGAAGAGGATAAATACAAGGGAAAATGTTAAAGTCGCCCTCATTTGTAAAAGTGAGCCTTGGTAAAGGGAAATTAAAGATAAAAAACATGAAACATACAGGTGACAATAGAAAATAAAATAAGACCTACTGGTACCGGTTTTTGTCCTTCAAAGAGTTTTTTCTTGAATCACTCCCTTCGCTTAAATTATCTTCACCCTCTTCAGATTCCAAACTGCGATTGCAGCTCCGAATAGTTTGAAAGATATTGTTTGCTGTTGATTCTTTTTCTGGATTATTTAAACCATCTTGGCCTACTCGTTGCAAGAAATTATCTTGTCCGTTATAATCTGAAACAAACTAGAGATATCTAAAAGATTAGTACAGTAATAAATAGAAAATTCTGTCATATACTTCTCACTGAAGAAATTGTTTACAAGAATTAAGAATACTTAGCATGTATTTCCTATTGGCTTCTAGTAGGATTTTGTACCTACTTCCAATCCTAAACAGACCAAATCACTGCATAAATCAAGTAACATAAGTTACAGTAACTCCTGCAAACTTTTTAAAAGCCTCAGTGTTGATCTTTTCATGTAACAGGGGCATTTTTCTTTTAAAACCAAAATGATAAAGGAATTGCTTCTTTTCATAGAGGAAAAGCTTGATCCACTGAGCTTCTGAATACCATTTTTAAGGAACTGAAAACTTTCCAATTACCAGTGAGTTAAGTGGAAGGCCAAAGCATTTAACAGAAAATAGTTACATCTTTAAGGATTTACATGCTTACTTTACCCAAAGTATAAACATAATCCTTTGGTACTGACTTTAATTTCCCAGTATTCCAATACTAAACTATGTATAAACAACTACGTCTAAATTGCTATATGGGAATTAAATTGAGGTCCATGTAACTGAACAGTCTGGTAACAGTCTGGTTTAGAAAAGTTTAATTAGATGATGCCTTGGTGTAAAATAATAAACAACATAAAGCACTGCACGGCTTTGAACATAACCTGTTAGAACATCAACCTCATTTACCTCTAATGTTTCATCCTGGGAGTTATATCGCGGACAGAGTCTGATGAGGCTTGATGCTCCATCCAAAACTTCACACAGCTCTTTTAAAAATACACCACAGAAAGGAACGACTTTACAGCCTGGAATATTGAGTGCCCGGTTGACCACTTTCCTGTATTCAGATGATGACTCATGTTGTGCCATACCATCTTTCAGACTTCGCATGGTTTCAATATCAGACTGGTCCATAAATTGCCACATTTTTAAAACTTTTCTTGACCTATTGCAAAAAGAGATCACAACATTTATTTAAAAAATTTAAACCAAATTTACATTCAAGTTCAACACTCACAGCATATATGTAATAGAGGAATTTATCATCATTACAAAATGTATGAATGAAATAAAGGTCATTATTTTTATGAAAATGCTGCTTGGCAGATCATTTTCCCACTTTTGAATTATTAAAAAACAAAACTAAAAAGCATAAACACGCAATCTGATCTACTGGAGTAACAGTTGATATTTTAATAAAAGCCCAGCTGCAGGACACACAAGCAGACTTTCTAACTTTTTCATTGTGTCACTGCCTTAAATTTTTAAGGGCCTGGGAAGAAATAAGAAAAGATTAAGGAAATGGCATGAAGATAAACCAGTTTACTTCAAATTCCTTTAGTTGTATTATGAACAATCCATAAACTTAGCAAAAGGGTTTTTTTTAACTAAATTTATTTAAAATTATTTACATTGATTTTTTTCCCCATTTCACTCACAAAATAAATTAGTTTTCATGGAAATAAAGAAACCAGGACTATGTCCCAGCTCCCAGGCACCAACGCAGTGCTGTAGATGAAAAGAATCTTTGATTTCAAACAGAAATAGCTCGTGATGCTCCCTGAGGACTGCGAGTACCGCGAGTACTGGGAGGTCTCTCTCCTTCTGAGCTGTACATCTGTGCAACGGTATGGCCTTTCTACCCACTCCTAGCCTCAGACATACCAAAAGATCCGTAGAAATGCCAACAGTAGAAAGTCCTTAACCCCAATTTAAGTCTCTGTCCAGGAAACGCTGCTAATCATCTTTCCCTTGTGCTGTGCAGATGCATTAGAGATAAAATTCAGCCCTTAATTTGCTTTACATTTTCCCTCACTGCTTACATGGCTTGGAGACTGTGGATGCATTCTGCTCACAAAGACTCCCTGAGTGTTTCAAATGTGTTTTATATACCAAAAATGTAAACAAATAGCTCAAGGAGAATCCTTACTAAACCACAAAGAGTGACAATACAAACACTTTAAAGCTTTGTTACACAAACACACATAAATGGAGGGTCAGAGCTAAGAGATGGGAAATCTGATCTTAACTCTTCCCTGCTCAGTCCAATTTGCAGCGCTGTGAACTGCCGGTGCAAAGGCACCGCTTTCCTGCTCACCCAGCCCTGCGCGAGCCCGCAATTCTGTAGGAAAGCTAGCAACGAACTGCCTTTAGCCCCCCACTCTGCCCTCCTCCTGGAGACACTGTAGACCATGATGGTATGAGATACCAACATCAGTCAGTGTAAGTAAATTGGAGAGGTTAAAAAAAGAGGTTTAGCTGTTTGGTTGGTTTTGTTGGGGTTTTTTGTTGTTTTGGGTTGCGTGGTTTGTTGTTTTTTTGTTTGTTTTTTTTTTTTACAATTACTGACCCTTTTAGAACACTGCTACAACTGTGTTTCACTTGAGTTCTGGAAACTCCAACCCCAAGTTACATTAGTTTTAGCTGATTACAGATAAACCACAACTGCTTTCCCACCTTCTTTTCATATTTAAAAAAATTCTGTTTAAAAAAATCCCCTATGTTTCTTAATGTAACATACTTAGCATGTACCAGGAAAACCTATCTCCAGAGCATTTGGAAAAAACCACAGCTTTTAGCATGCTTCATTTTTCCAAAAGGGATTACTAGAAAGTCGCAGGGTGAGATGATGTGATTTAGCCATGGATTTCTGGTTAGTCCATTGTTCTCCAGAGACATCTGCTTAACAGAAGCTGAAGTGTAATCTATCACTGAAAAGCCATTTAAAAAAAGAGTTGCCAGTACCTCAGTCCTGCCAGAAATTCCATTACAGCATTGTAGTTGCCCATATTCCAGCAGCATTTTGCCACATGTACTAAATATGAGAAGACTTCTCGTTTCTCCTCCATAGAACCTGCAGTCAGGATCAGCCAGGTAACCCATGAGCTCACCTTGTAAAATAAAACGGACGGTACAGTCAGCCAAAGCAATGTCACTTGGAGCATTTGTGCATACTTGATGGGTTATGTGGGGGGTTTTTGTTTCCTTCCGTCAGGAGGCTGTCAGTCAAAATTCTACTTACACACTCACGGCCAAATCACATATGCATTGCAATCACACCTTACATGCGGACATACTCATATTACAACTGTTAAATCATTAACTAATCTAGAAATACTTATATTAAACAAAAAACTACTGTATCTTAAAATATGATATTCTGAATATGCATTCAGGCCACGGAAGAAAATGGATAGCTTAAGGTAGCACTGATTTCTAAAGTTGCCAAAGAGATCTGCAGTGTAAATTCTCATTAACATAGCTTACAAATCTCAGCCTCACACTGAATAACCCTTGTTCTTACAACACAGACAGTTAAAGTGGATAAATTGAAATTTTAATTTCACAAACCTGTTAGTTTGTACAAATTTGCTAATTCCTATATGCACTGAACATTTAAAGTAATTCGCATTATCTATTTGCAAGATCACAAATGAAGAAAAACAAAAAAACCTCCACCTTCCCAGTGTGACCATACTGCCAACTTCTGTTCGGTGATTAATTAATGCCAGAATCAGAAACTAACTTAATATATGATTCTGTTTGTAATTAAACAAATAAAAATCAAACTTTCCTTTTATCAGGGTGCAGATTTTCTTTCCAGTTTATGTTCCCACAACATCCATAAAAAGTAATTGTATTTCACATGGAAACCTAATTTAAACCAACTGTTCCTTTTTACAATGTGATTCCCTAGGGGCTTGGTTTTTGTCATTGTGTAAACACTTAGGAAGCAATAAATGTGATTTGTTCACTGACACTAAGTTCCATTCTTTGGCCCTGAAGGATTCAAGTGTTTACAGACAATACCAGTATGAAGGAGAGGCTTATAAAAATTAGAAAATGTTAGTTCACACCTCAAGGGGCATAGTCTTTTTATTTAAAACAACAAGCATGGGAAATAAAATGTAAATGCATTAGTAGTAACAGGAAAAAAATCCACTAAAAATATACAGGGCTTCCATTTACGCAAGCCTATACAGACACAGTGTTCTAAGCCTCTCACTCCTGAGGGAGAACAGTCAAAGAAAATGAAAAATCTAAGTTACTATTTAATCTTTCTGATGTGCAAATCAATCAAGAACAACAAATCAGAAATGTGCAGATGAGAAGACAAGCCGTAGCTCCAATATAAGCAATGTATATGTGTACAAAAAAAAAAACGACATTTTTAAGACTAAAAAAATGAAGTTATAAAATCATTCTGTCTTTCATGTGGTGAGGACATCCTTGGGAGCGCACAGTACAGGGATGGGAATGCTCTAATTGAGACATGAGAATCAGGAGACAACGGACCCATTAAGAAACAGCATTCTACCTGCTCTGCCCCTCACTGAACAGCTTGGGTATGGAACACAAGAGCTAGAAGAAACCCGCTTCAAGTCTAGTGCTAATCTAAAGAAAACAGGTTAACTACTCTTCCTGTAATTACTGTATGTTTTTATAACTAACATGTAAGAATAGAGTAGGAGCAGATAACAGGTACAGAGCGTTCAACAAAGGTAGAACAAGTACCAGAGTCCAATGTCGTACGTGTAAACATGCTCAAGAAGATTTCCCAAACACAGCCTTAATGCACTGTCACTGTAGAGGTCACAATACAAAAATAAATAAATAAAAACTATTCATATCGGCTGCCCTATACAAGCTATATCTAATCGCTGCACCAGCTCTGAATGAGAACTTGAAGTTAGCTGAGATTTTTTTTGAAGTGCTCAGTTGGTTATTCCTAAAATATAAAAACTGAATCAACTAAGCAGTGCATACCTGAAGAGCATGAAGGTATGGAAAAATACAAAAAAAACAGACACTACAGGATACGGGGGTCAAACGAGGGCAAAAACAGAAGTAATAAATAAAATGCACAAAAATATCAGAAATTGTGAAACAAACCAGTTAAATCTGTGATTCAAGATTGGCATAGATTTGTTTGTGTATGCTGGAACAAAATTTCATATTGTTTTTGGATATTATTCCCATTTTCCAGAAATGGCTCTGTTAGGGAATGCAAATGTTAAACATGCAATCTCACAAAAAAACCCAGTATTTTTTTAGTATGAAATACCAAGTGTGGTAATGATAGTTTGATTAATGTGTTTTATGTGTTGATGAACTTAGAAATGAAACATGTGCTACAGACTGTTTCAACTTTTCTGTCATATCTAGCAGTAGCCAGGAGTATAAATTGACCTTTCTGGTGGTTCTGAATAGCATAAGGTCTCCATAAAGTTTTTCTATTAATTACTCAGACTAATTACAACCAACGACTGTTGGCCGATTAATCTGAATGCATCATACAACCCCCTGAAAGGGGGATTATGGGCTTCTCTAAAAGCGTAATAGCCTGGTACCCCAAAACTGGTTTCTTGGAAGGTTTTATCAGTCTTAGACTAGAACAGGGATGATTAAAATGCAACAGTACTGTCAGAAAGGAGAGAACAGAGGAAAGGAGCTGTGAACAAAGGCCATCTAATTTCATTCAGCGAGATTATTGCTGAGTGCTGTGCCTAACATCTGCAAAACTTTTCCACTTCTATTTTTTTTAGTGACAACAGCTGGAAAGGGAGGAGAATTCAGTCAACAGAGCTGAGGGGGCATTTCCCTAAAATTAGATGTGGTCCTGGAGCCCAGGGAGGGAACAAACACAGAATTAATAAGTGGAACTATCAGTTATCCACTTAAAATGCCATAGAGGATTTTGCTCACAGAAGTTTTGAAGGTGGGAGATCTGGTTGAATCGGTAGGCTTTAAAGGAGCAGAAAATCAAAGCTGAACTTCTGCTGACTCAGGTCACTTCCCAGCTCTGAACTCCCTGAAGATTTTATTCTGCCCAGACAGATTGAACTGATGGATCCAAGAACTTGATCATTAAGAACAGTATTCTAAATAAACACATACTGAAATAGCTAGGGTATAGCAGTAATTTGAGACGATTATTCATAATGGCCATAGACAAAATGAACGACATACAAACACTGAAATGCCGGTAAGTTGAAAGGACTGTGATCCTCAGGAAACACCATGTTTTGACAACTTAGCGGAAACTTTTTATTAATTAAAATATAAACTTATTAAACAATACTCGGGAAACATACTCATGAATGTTGTGATTTACTGATAAATATATGAACAGTCCAGAGTACATCCTCAAAGGAATGCCTCCATAGGAATCACCAACCTTCTCAAATGACCCTACAGCTGCCCCTGGATCCCCGAAATACCTGATAATGCATATACTACATTTTTGCTGTCCGGGATGCATAAAGCTTCCTCTGCACAGATGTGTTCAAGAAATAACAAACTTTTCAAGATCTTCATTCAAATGAAATTCAGAATTGGGATTCCTCAGATGTCTGTGTACATCTGAGCTAGATGAACCTCACACGAAAGAAAAGCAGAGGACAACTCCATAAATGTATGCATGCATTGGTGACGATGGAAATCACCTGGAAGTTGAATTGAAAACCCTGGGGTTTGCACTTCGGCAAGCAAGGAGCACAGACTGTATTCTGGAGTGTACAGTTTCTCTGTCAATAAAATCAGGTGTGATCTCTACCTCCAAGAGGTGTTTCCAGCAGGGTGAACAAAGCAAAGGGAGGCTCCAATCCTGGCTGGAATCAGGCAGTGACTTCTGGACACTTCAGCCAGCTGGATACAGAACAGCACCTCCTCCTCCAGCAGTTCATTCCTGGATGGCTTGCTGAGCTCCCTCCCCAGATGCACCACACCTGAGGAGCACCTAACCCGAGGATGAAGTACCATCAGGTAGGCAGCTGCCTAGTTATCAGGCTGCCACTACAGCAGCACGAGGGCTTCTGCAGCTCTGGCGCTGCCTGAACTAGCTAGCGCCGGGACCAGAGACAGCACACCCCAGCCAAAAAGAGTGTGCAGTAGTAGCCTTGCCAAGAAGATCAAAACACGTTGCGAGTATTCCTCAGCATAGGCAGTAACGCTTTTTGGACCAAGTTTTTGTGTTAGGTATCACTTTAACATAAGATCACAATCTGCACATCGACATATTAATGATTATTTAGTTTACTTTTTTTTCACACTCGACTTAGATAGTTCTGTTTACGTAACTCATTTTGAAGTCCCTGCAGAATAGAAATAATCGCAGCAAACCTATAATTAGATTTCCGCTGCACTGCTGATGAGTCTGAAAAGTATGAGAAAATGTGTCCTGGCTTCATTACTATAATCCACATGATTGCAAGACACAAGAAAAGTCATAAATTGAAACACGATCCACTCAAGTTTATAACAACATCCGTCTCTTCATTCAGATGGGTAAAAATGAGTGTCCTCCAGGATTACTGCACACTAATATTAAGTAGTAAACAAACAAAATCAAATCAAATAGATACTTAGCTACGATATAAATATTTTCTGGTGACATAACACAGAGAAGCAGTGACAACATTGTGCCAAATTAATTTCAGATTTATTGTAGAGTAGCCTCATTTGGAAATTTTCACAGGTACAGGAGCCTCCTCCAAATCTTAGTCTGAGCACAGACAGATGAGGATCTGCATCGGATGTCCAGGCAATGCAGTTCGTAGCTGAGCAATGACCTCAAGCACAGTAGTACATAAAGATCTGTGTAATTTTTTTTTTTTTTTAATTATCTTTAAATCACCTCTTACTATTTTAACTGCACTAAAATCTATTCTTTTCAATAAACTTCTTTTAAAAGGTTTTTAGGCTTATCCTTATTTGATCAAAGTTTTCAAATAAATTCAAGTTATGCATTTGGGAAAGGCCTATTATAACTCAGTGTTATATTCAAACGTACCGTGATAATTTTTAAGTCAGTGACTGAGTCTCATTCAGTGTTTCAACTTACTTTACTTGGAATTTTTCACAACTGTAGCAATGATAGACCTCTATTTAA